TAGATTTCCTAGATATAGATATACTCATGAAAATCTCAGATAAATTTCTAAGTTCTAAAATACATTAATTTTTTATTTGGGTTAATTAATCTTATATACTTGCTATATAAAATGCTGCTATACAAATTTTTATAATTTTCATAAATATTAATGTTCAAAAGATACTGTTTTCTTGCTTTTGTTCTTATATAATCACAAAGAAAGAAAAGAGATCCAAGTTTCACTAATGGCTGGAACAGTTTGTGTTTTAGAAGCAAGATCTGAAAAGCTGATTTCTGCTCATTAGGTATCAAGTTACATACATCATCCTGGGTTCAAATTAAAATTAAAACTCTCATGTATCAGTATTTCATTTTTTAAAATTACATAATTTACCTTTAAAAAGTGCATCTTAATTGTTCTATCAGTGACTATGATTCGTTGGCTATTTAATAATACAAATGTGTAAGTGCAAACAATTTGCCAGATTCAACCACATTCTTGAAACATCGTAAACACAGTAGAAAATGGATACAGCGATAGCTTTGTTTGCTGTCGCTTAGCAGTGGGGCTTAGAGGTCCAGTGGGACACTGTTCCGAGACGTTTCCATGCAAGACAGAAGAACATTCAAGCCGGAAAATACTACGGCAAAATAGAACAGTTTTCAAATAGTTTTATCCAAAGAACTCCATCCGAACCCACCTGGAGTCCAGATCTTGGAAGTCTTCCACAAAGGCCTCTTCGGAGTCCAGGCGTGCCCAGGACCAGGTCCGGAGTGCCGGCCCCGCCCGTCGGTTTGAAACTGAGTTCACAGCATTGAATACACCTGAGTCAAGCAAGGCATTGGAAAGACAATGATACCAGTTTGTTGTAATTGTTTTCTTTAAAACAGATAAATGCTCAAAATGAAAACAGGCCTTCATCAATTTGCCAATTTGATTTAAAAAGAAGCACATGGTGCTGGAATTTTAGAAAATGCTTCCATTTGGTGAAATTTTCTTCTTACTAGCTTCTTAAATAATGGACCATAATAGTTTTGGAGGAAAACTCCTTTTGTTGTTCTGAACTACAGGTTTAACTCTCTTCTTAGTGGCTACAACTTGAAGTAAATATTAAGAATAAAGATTCAGTCTTCAAAATATTCAGTTTCTGCAAGAATTGAGGTGTGTTATATATGTGGACCAGCTCCCCACAATAAACGGAATCACTATGTACTGGAAACATGTACTAATAAAAATAAATAAACCAAATATTCAGTTTCTAGTGCAAAAAATATAGAAAATTCTTCGACTGTGAGCTCTTTGATATCTCAGCACTGACTCACCAGGACACAGGGAAGGTACTGATTATTTTACACCAGGACACAGGCCACTCACCACATTCCCCAGTGCAGTGTTTCTCCACCTCGAGGCCGATGACACCAAATAATCCCAATTTTTGTTTTTCCTGAGCACAAAACCCATAAATCGAGCTCCCCAGCAGGCTGCGGTCAAACACCCCAGGCCCAGCGAGTCCCCATCTGAGGCTAGGACCCAGGCTCACGCAGGCTCTCCCTGTCTTCACTGCTTGGGGGCTCCACGTGGACACTCACGAGCCATGTTCACTCTGCTTGTTTCACAGGTACACGCTGGCAGATCACATTATGCCATTTATCTTCCTGAAACCCAAGATGTCTCCCCGGTCCAAGGACCAAAGCCATCTAATCTGAACCAGTTTTTTTTTAAAGTCAGGCCCTTCCCTTTCCCAGAATTGCCTCATTTCCACCCATGAATAAAGTGCTGTAATCCCCACCTTAATATTGCCTGTGAGTACTTGGAAACGTGCATAAAAGAGAAACTGCAACTACATAAATCACCCAAGAGAGTCAAAGTTTTTGTTTATTTGTTTTTCAGAAGTAAAAACAACCTGGAAGAAAGAGCTACAATTATAATATAATCAAATAATTGAAGATAATTGCCCAGCAATAATTTGTTTCAATACATTAAAAGCTTAGAGGGTTATGGCCCATGAAACAACTCTTCCTGAGTCTAAATGAGAATTTCCTATTGGTAAATGGGTTTCATTTTTTCTTAAGCAGATTGAGGTACTTTTAAATCAGTGCTCTCTGCCTGTGCTAACTTACATGGCTAAAACATGTATTTAAAATACCAGACCTCGCCAGCCGGAGCCCTCAGAGCAGACCACGCAGGAATAGGAGCTTTCCGGTGAATTGAAATCGAGCATGGGTGTAGAATCTCCCTAAGAAAATAACAGCTTGTGAGACATTTAAAGACAGTCAGCAAGGCGTGAATGTTTCTCTTCACTCTTCAGTTACACGAAGAGCACGAGTTGGTTTATAAACTTGATGTGTGAGTCCCATAGAAGGAACTCTGTATCATAAACAGCAGCCTGGAGCAGTGTCCGGAAGAAAGCAGAAGGCCCAGCCCGCCGCTCGGAGCGTGTGCCGGCCACGGGGGCAGCTCCCTTCCCGGGGGCCCCGCCATTTCCAGACCCCAGGAGAGGACAGCGCTGGTCTGGACGTCCAGGGCAGCCAAGGAGCTCGCTGACTGAGTCCAGCAGAAAGCCCATTCCGTACACGGGATGCGAGCTAGGAGGCTGAAGTAGCCTACTGTGGCTGAACAGCTCAGGTGTCTACATTATGCTCCTGTGTGTGCGTGTGTGTGTGTGTGTGTGTGAGTGCGTGCACACGTGTGTGTTCGGTGCTGGGGATTGAACCAAAGGCTTCCAAACTAAGCTCATATGGCCCTTTTTGATTTTATTTTTTTTTATTTTGAAGCTGGGCCATGGTGGTGCACTCCTCTAATCCCAGCACTCAGGGGGCTGAGGCAGGAGGATTGCCTGGAGTTGAAGGTTAGCCTGGGCTATCTCCTGAGTTCAAGGACAGCTTGGAATACATACTGAGAACTTGTCTCACAAAATTAATCAATCAATCAATATTTTGAGACAGGGTCTTGCTTTGACTCTAAGCTGCCCACGCTGGGCTTGCACTTGTGATCTGCCTGCCTCAGCCTCCCAGAGTGCTGGGATAAATTAAAATTCTAACCCAATATCCAGCTTTGGCAGATTCTGACATTGTAATATATATATATATATATATATATATATATATATTTTTTTTTTTTTTTTTTTTTGGTACCAGAGATCTTCTTTCTTTTTTTTTGGTATCAGAGATCGAACTTGGGACCTTGGACTTGCCAGGTAGGTGCCAGAACTACTGAGCTAAATCCCCAGCCCTGATTTTATATTTTTAAGCAAATAAATTACCGAAACAGTGGCAACTGTGTCTTTATTCTCTTCTTTGTTTCTTAAAGGAAAACGTATTTTTAACTTAGTAACTTCTGTAGAAATGCTTCATGCATTTGCTACTTATAGAAGCACATACCTGTCATAAGGGGTATCATTTGTGCCTTTAAACTTGTTATATCCAGCAAAATTCTCCTTGTATTCCTACACTCCTTAGTTTTGTTCCTTTAAAGTGTTTCTGAGAGTTTTCTAAAGCTGACTCACGTGACGCTTCCCTTCATTTACACTTCTGTATGCGTTTGGTGATTAGACTTGAACTTACATAATCTCTTGTTCTTCATCGGAGACTGTCCTTCTGTCGACTTTTCTATTATAACTGATCTTGGAGTGCATTTTTGTAGGCATGGGAAGTTTCTCCAGAGCATAGACTATGCGTCACTCTGTAGGACATGCACGCCAGCACCTGAATTAAATTTCAGCCACACTGTCTTGGCAAGTTTATCTTCCTGGGGAAGAGTTTTCTGGGCTAATGAAGCCATAGTAGTGCAGGTAACAGATTGTGTGGCTGTCCATACTTTCCAGTCTTCATGTAAATGCTATGCCCTTGATTCTTGTCTTGAGAATTACTTATGTGTCTTTTGATATTCAAAAACTATATCTTGTTCTCCTCTATTATTATTATTATTGTTGTTGTTGTTATTATTTTGGGTTTTTGAGACAAGGTCTTTCTATGCAGCCCAGGCTGGCCTTGAACTCAGCATTCCTCCTGCCTCTACCTCTGTCCTGCTCCTGGATTATTAATCCTGTGTTTACAGTAACAATTTTGAACTGATCCTGGACCAGAGCTCAGTTATTGCCTGAGAGTTGACTCCCACCCATCTGGATACTGAAATCTGGATTGCCAAGGCCCTCGGACGGGCAGTGGGATGTAGAGAGGTGAGCTAATCCTAAGGGTGACAGGATGCTGCCCCTTCAGTCCGAGCCCCCAGGAGGAGAGAACCTGCAGGGGCTGCCCTAGGCAGTGGCCTCAGCGCCAGTGGGACTCTCTGCCCCAGGGTGTAGGGCACATTTCTGCTGCTTCTGAGCTGCTTGGTCATGGACCTTGTCATGAAGCCAAAGAGACAGAACTAAGGGTCTTACGTCATATTGTTTGTTCTGTTAAAGTTCACACATTAAACTTATAGTTGAAGTTTGTCAGAGTGATCAGAAAATTTGTTATTTCTCTTTTGTTCTTCTTATTTCTCAACATAGTATTTGCTTATGTTACTTGAGTACCACACATGTGGGCATATTATAATATCTGTTTGCAAATATAAAATTCATATGTGTGTAGCCACTAGAAAGAAATATAATCTCTATAAGAAATTCTTGAAATGTCTTCATAAAGTAAACATTATAACCACAGCTATTTCTTCAGTGTATATGTATCACTATAGATATATAAACATATAGTTGATCATTTTAAAATTTTACATATTGGATATCATTTGGAAACCTTGAAAGATAAAAACAAATGAAAAATAATTTCATTTCAGTCCACCAAAATCTAAATTAAAACACAATAAGACTTAATTATATAATTATATCAAATTGGGAGATATTCTTTTCTTTTGGAAGTGAAATTATTGCATACTAGCAGTACAATATATACCTTATGAAGTTTTTCAGGAAATATTTTCTTTGATATTTAGTTCAATCTATGTATTGTCATTATTTGGAGTGGAGGAAAAAATGCAAAATTTGCACACAAATCAGTACTGTTTCAATCACAGAATATGAATGTTGGTGTTTTATTAGAATACAACCAAAATATACATTTCACAACTTTTAATTATTTAATACTATAAGACTACATTTCTTTTGAAATAGTAAAACTATAAATTCAAAAGTGATTGCTAACCACTCACAAGTAGGATTAAATTACATGATTATGGCTTCTGACAGATTTTTGCCCTTCCCCCCAAATCATCTACCTCAAACCTTCCATAAATACTTTATACTACAAAATATTTAAATGAGAGGCATCAGTCCCCTGAGCACTCCTGTCTGCACTTCCCATGTGTAGAAACCGGGCTTTTAGACTTCAGTTCTTTAACCTCACCTGTAAGTGGAGTTATTTAAATGTTCTTATCACACTGAGAAAAATATACCTTTCTATAAAAATCATTGCAAATATCTTTTTTTCTACACTAGCTGTAAGGCCAAATAAAGGAAGCCTATTCTCTGAGACAAATGTGACATTTAAAAAGAGGGGATGTCAGTTTTGATTTACATTTGTTTTAATGATACATATGAAATATATTTAACTTTGGCAAAAAACAGAGTTTAATGAATGATCCTGCTTAACTTTATTATTTTGTAGAAACATGAATGATACCAAGTTGCCCCTAGAAGTTCAATTTTAGTAATTTTGAAAAATAGGCACTGAGTCAGTTAGCTTATCTTTTAGTTCAGTCCACTCAACTCATCAAGAATAAAGCATAATACCATATGAAGAACCAAATATAGGTCAAAGAAAAATTCAAAAATAAAAACATCTTGTGGCCAGCATATTATAAATGAGCATTAATCAACAGAATCATGAGACTGAATTATACTTCTACTATTTTTATGGCTTTTGCAAATTACTAAATATTTCACAACTATTTTACATTTCTTAAATAATTTAATTTTGTGTAATTTTTGTGGAATCATGTGAATGTAATATTCTGAGCTTTTTGGGAAAGAAAAACTTCTACATAAATTAATTAAAACATCTATTTCTAAAGAAACTCTCAAAATTGCCAATGAAGTGGATGTAAATGAATGCAGATGGCCAGGATTCTGGTCAGCAGCATCAGGCACTGGAATGCCATGCGGAGGGAACCAGGAGGGAGGCAAAGACCTACACGTGGAAGGCAAGAAAGAAAAACACAAACTACAACACCCAGGCATTTGAAAACCCTCTTCCCAGAGAGCTGACTTGTTAGAATACTGGAAATGACTGCATTAACTGTAATTTGATTTTTCATTATTTTCAAACAGGTTTGGCAAGATCAGTGGTGAGAATGTATTTATTATTTCTGTAGATTGAACATAATCACACAATTGCTGTAGGTGTTCGGAACAGCTTAGTTGAAAAATTAAATGTAGTTCAGATATCCTCTAACTTTAAAAATACATATAAGTCTTTGTCCCCATTTTGTTATATGAAATTGTATTATACTAATATTTCCAATATATTTTAAGTATTTACCATAAATTAATAGCTTTATACTCAGAGCAGATTCTTAGATAAAAGACATAAAATAAGGTCCCAAAATGTTGTCTGAATAACTAAGTTTAAAGAGTGGTAATTCAAAAATGATGTGGACATTCACATTTGAATAAAATATATTTTCAAAGGTCAATCCTAATGTTTGAATCTTATGTTATAATTTCTCCAAAGCCATCCACATTTGGGCACTGTGCCTGCTACACAAATATGTGCAAATCTCATACACACCAATCCCAGGCCCACATACTGCTGTGAGCCTGCTCTGCGCTTCCAGGACATTGCATAGCAGCACCCCATGGTCACAGACACTCCATGTGTCGGTGTCAGTTAGGAGTCTGACCTCACCACCACTCTTCTTTTGCAAACTTTTTAAAGTTTGTTCTGCTTCACTGTTGTTACAGTTGAAGCTTGACTTCTCCTTATAGTGAAATGTCTACCAATATTCAGGAGTGTAATAAAAAAGAGGATGCTGGACCTCACAGACCAGGGTGACTACTTTGAAATAGGCAAAGCACAAAGAATATGAAGGCCAAACCCAGATGGCACTGTGAGCGGGGAGACTCCCAGGCTGTAGTGAGTCTCCACTAGGGTTCACACGGATGTTCTTGCAAGACGTGGAGAGGCAGAAGAACCCAGCAAAGCATTGCTGGGTTTTCTGAAGAGCTGCCTTCTGTGTGAGGAAGTGACTGATTTTCCATCTCACACTTCAGGGTGTGGACAGGTTGGACAGAGGAGGTGGGGCTGTCAGGGGTGGAAGGAAAGATGAGCCTTGCCCTGTCCCGAAAGACAGGGACCACTGCACAGGGATTCAGGGAAGGGGACCTGCAAACACGAACATGCTCACAGGTAGGAGGGCATCATGTTCATGGTGGGAGTCTGCTTTCTTTACATGTGGTGAGCTTGATTTACCCTTAAACTGCTACTCGAATTACAACACATCACTCCAGAAATTCAAAAGGTTGCATGAAGAAAAGGATAGGAGAGAGTTAATTTTACCCTTCCTGTGGTTGAAATCGTGCACTTGATCTGTTACTGGGCAGTACCCATCCCCGCTCCCACCAAGGCTGTCTACTGAGTCCGCTCCTGTGTATTGTATGGGGTATCTTCTCCCTCACTCTAATGTAATCCATAATCCACTATTGAGATAGTAGAGGAAGCAAATGGAAATCACACACAGAGAAAGGTACATACATAGAAGGGAGGGAAGACCATTGGTTATAAATAAAATATGTTCATCCCTCCCATGGTCCTTACATTTTTTTACTTTTCTTCAGACTTTTGCAAGCAGGTTGTCATAATACAGATTTTTTTAACAGATGAGTTACAAATTGGCAGCTACCTATATTGGTGTGAAAGGAGCCCCATCACATCCTGTCTACTCTACTTGGGGTTGCTCTTCCGTTTCACGGGGATCTGAGTTTTCCCCAAAGCCAGGATTATGGCTGTCTTTGCTTCTATCGCCTCTGCATGTCATCCCATTAGGATGTAGCATACATCAAGATATTTCTCTTATCTCATTAAAATATTTTCCCATATCTTATTAAAATATGAATCAAGCATTCTGTTCTTATAGATCTAACCATATATTCCAGAAACCCACAGCTGAGCCTGGATTTCTGTCTGTGAACCTGTTTCTTCTTACAAGTCATGAGGAATCCCGGGAGGAGTGTTAGTGTCCTTCCGTAAATCAGAGTTGTGAGCTGAATGGAACCCGGCGGCCTGGAAGAAGCACTGGACCGCCACGTTCCCAAGCCACGTTCCCACGCCACGCTCGGCTCCGAGAGAGCAGCTCTGGGCCCTCCAGATCCTGCCCCAGACAGCGGTTCTAGTGTGGAGCAATCGTTCTGTTCACAGGAACACAGCCCAGCTGCACGGTGAGCGGCACACCGGAGGCCTCCGAGGGAAGAAGAATGCCCCTCAGCTGTGTCAGGCCAAGGCCTCTTCAGCTGACTATGTACTCGGCATCCCGAGCTCAAAGTCCAGAACAGAGCACATTCACAGGACAACGCCCTGCTCCGAGGGTGGCGCTGATGCTTTGCAGGCACGAGTCTCCGTTCGGGCAGTCGGTCGCCCCCCCCCCGCCCCTTGCTCTCTGGTCCCCATTCGCCACAGACCCCTGCCCAGGCAGTGGTCCTTGCGCTCAGCAAAGCCCAGGGGAAGCATTTACAAGGGGGTGGGACACGCAGTGCGGAAGGTGGCGTCCTGCAGCACGCAGTTCTCTGCCAAGGGCCTGCAGAGCTACGTAGCCAGGGCCACGGCCCCGAGCGGCCCCGCCCGGCCCCCGTGGTGCCTGCGGTTGCGCTTCTTCTTCAGCTCGTGCATGTGCTTCCACTTGGGGCTGCCCTTGGTCCGCTGCCTGCGCTTCTCCCGGTGCCACATCTGCTCGCAGTACTGGTCCAGGCTGAAGCTCGGGCTGCTGAGGATCTGGATGTAGTCTTTGTAGCGCAGCTGCGACTCGGCCAGCAGGTCCTTGGCCGGGCCATCCTCGCGCTCTGCCCTCTGGCTGCCCTCCATCTGCTGGCTCTCGATGACGTTCAGGCTGAGCCTGGCCACCGTGTGCACGAAGCTGTGCTCCTGCGCCTTGCAGGAGTACACGCCCGAGTCCCTCCTCTGCAGGCTGCGGATCAGGAGCCCGTACTCCGTCTTGATGATGCGCTCGTCTGGCTTCAGCTGCTGCGTGGGGAAGACAGAGGCAAGAGGTTAACTGCATCGCTAGGAGCAAATGCAAAAGGCTACACAGCTGTGTCTGGATAACCCTGAAAGGCGCCTTCTCCTCTCACTGTCATCAAGCACGACGCCGTCAGCCAGAGGCTGGGAAACTCGGAGAGTAACCGCCTCGGTCACTGCACGGTATTTCGGGGTGTCTGACGGAGCCTACACGGACAGGAACGGAGAGCAACGGAGGAAAGGTGGGAACCTTCAGCTGACCACTTACGGACGATTTCAGGTAGCATTTGCCCCACCGAAAGGACGAAGCAGCATCGCTGTCAGAGCAGCGATGCAGCTGCGAGGCCACTGAGTGCAAGCAGAGCCCCAGCGCAGGCCACTGCCAGTGCTGCACAGGAGAGCAGCCTTTCCAACAGGAAGCGACTCTGCTGTCCGGGACCCACACACATGTGGAAGCTGTCACTGGGCACTGAAGGCCTGGGGACCGCAGGGGACACCGAGCCATAGTGGCTAGACCACACCCAGAGCATTAGCAGCATCACAGCTGCATTTCCCTTGGACTCCAGACTGAATTTCGATCCTGTGAGTGTGGTAGTTAGATGGTGTCTTTTGTGGAGATATTTGCCATACCTCAGGATCCTCTAATGTGGTCCTGTGATTTCCCGGGAAAGAAAGCACTATGACCTAAAAGACCCTCCCTAAACTCACGGCTCTTTCTGCTTTGAAGCCAGGCACCGAGGAGAATTCACACGTGAGGCCTGCCTGGCCCATCCTGGTGTCAGCCACAATCGTTTCCTCTGCAGCCGGGGGTCATTCACCAACACCAGAGCTGTGAGTCACTGGGTGTGACATGAAATGGCGGGGAAACAGAACGAAACAAATGCGGAGGACTTCCCAGTCTACACATCTGCCCTGCACTGGAGGGTTCCAGCTGATGGAGATCAAGGAAGCAAAGAGTCCGCTAAATTGAATTCATTCACAGTGGGTGGACTAGCCTTGCAGTTTTATGTGAAAAATATGTAGGGGAAATTCCTCTCCTTCTGGAAATGCGAGAAGAGGAAGAGAAACCTCTCTGGCTCTTGGGTCCGTGACCTCACAAGTACACGGCACAGCCCAGGCAGCTGGGGGGCACCATCAGGAGGCTGGCGGCCCCAGGCCACCTCCTTTCCACAGCCATGCAGGCAGGCATCTCTGTGTGTGTTTGCTTCCCTTTCTTTGCTCATTTGGTGAGCTGCATATGGAGTCTTCTTGGTGGATTTATTCCAAAGCCTCAGACATTTTCAATGCTATTGTAATAGAAACCAACCTTGAATTTATTTACATTCTGATCAGCCATGGGAGATTCTCACTGAAAATACATGCATTTGAATTGGTATGGTGCTAAAGGGCCAATGTCCAAAGGAAATGGCAATCCTAGAAAGGAAAGGGCCAAGCTATGTGGGGCGGGGTGGTGTAAGAAGAACTAAGGTTCATTATATACACATACCAACCCCCCATAGGGATGTAGTCATTCTGTACTAGTAACCATAAAGAAATGCTTCCTCACAGTTAATACCTACATATATTTGTTGCCTTTCAATCACTTTATTGCAAGAATTTTTAAAAATGTAAATGTGTCTTAGAGGCCAGAGACTGGCTCCCTAATGTGGATTCTCACTTCTGTGTAGCGTGCTTCCCAGGACAACTCATTTACCCCCTCGGCCACGATGGTTCCACACAGTGTGCTGGAGGGTTGGATGCAACACTTTTGAAGATTCCAGTGTGAAGCATTATTAGCAACATTATGATGAGTGCCATGTGGCAGGAGAGGTTACCCTCTGCAGCTTTTACCTCTGTAATTCTCTGACAGAAAATGGCCCAAGGTTATTAGCCTGACAGTGGTAACCCTCAGTTCCAACTGATGGCTGGGTTTCCTCTACACAACTGTGGGTAATGGGTAAACAGCGCTTACTGTGGCTTCTAGAGATTGTCACATTGCTGACTCACTGTGCTTTATTGTTCTCTTTAATCTTGTGACAGGAAGAAATCATGCCTCTGATTTCACACATGTTGTGCAGCACTTCACCAGGACTCACTGCTCTGCTTTCGTGTCCTGTTTGTGTTGCTCAGCCCGAGATCTGGCTCTCTCAGTCCCCATGGGACTTGAGGCATCATAAACACCTGGCACTGCATGACTCCTTATGAGCCTCCACAGGGCCTGCCTCCCTTGGAACGTGCAATTTGTTCTTTGGAACAGATCAAAAACCTGCTTTACCAAATTACAGGCTTCATGTATTAACCCAGTGTCTATTAGATCATTTAGCCAGTTTTGAATCTTTCCTAAATTTTCAAAACTATGGCTTTAATGAGATGTCATCTCTAATGACACACATTTTGAGTTGATATATTGTCTTGGATTTTCAAAATTTAGAGATAAAAATCTCTGACCTAGAAAGTAAAGGCCCACTGGAGAGCCTCCTGCCATATGTCCCAGGTCTCAGGAGGCTCTCATTCTCCAGAGCAGGAGACTATGCTGGCTGTTTCTCCACTGAGAAAGGAGCACAGTCCACTAGAAAGCTCAGCTCTTTGGCAGAGACCACGGACTCTAGCCACTGACTTATAAACTCCTGGGATTTTCTCCACTCCTGAAGTGATATGAAAATCCTCTAAGCCTTACAAATCAAAATGAGGCTGACTGCTCACTTGCCTGACGTAAGCAAGGGTGAAATATCTGGTACTGTAAGTGTAGGTCTTCAGTGAAGGGCACCATTTGGAATGGGAAGAGTAATGGGAAAGGGAAGGGATGTTCAGGCACTGCAGTGGCTGTGTCCAGGTGACCCCCAGAGCCTCATGTGGCCATAGACGGGGCTTTTCCAGAGGTGGCTGGATCTAAGGTGTGTGATGCTGGGATTAAGGGTGTGTGATTACTAAATCAGTCCCCTGATTGGCTTGGCACTGCCCTAATCTCGGTAGCCTGGATAGAGTTTAGGGGACACAAAGGGGCTTGTCATGTCCCTTGCTTGCTTTGCAGTCTTCTGCCTGCCATGAGCTGTTTCTCCTCTGCTGAGCCTCCCTGCATTGGAGCCAGATGACCATGGGCTGAAGCTCTACACACTGTGAGCTGAATAAACCTTCCCTCCCTTAACGTGTGGACGCTGAGCATTTTGTCTCAGCAGCGAGACAAGTGACTAAGGAGCAGGTAAGGTCAGGGACTTTGGCTCTGGTAACAGCAGGCTACAGGCGGCTCCGCACAGGTCCTTCAGCTGTCAGCCCAGTCCTGGGTGAAGCACTGCCTGCAGCTTGGAGGAGGCTGAGCTTGAAGATCAGAAAATGTCACTGCTGGGAGAAACTTGGGTTATCTAGGAAGAAAGTTCTCAGAGCAATGGATCTACAAAACTCTGTCTAGGGCCGGAGATTTAGCTCAGTGGTTTCATCGCCTGCTGCGCAAGCTCAAGGACCTGAGTTCAATCCCCAGTACCAAACAAAAAAAAAACTTTGTCAAAGTTTATCCCTATTTAAAATAAAGCAATGGATTTTTTTTCTAATTTAATATGGGAGAAGGGAAAGGAAGCAGAATGGGAAAACGTGTATACATTTTTAAGTTTCTCAAAGTACACTTATGTAACACTGTATATGACAGATTGACTAGAACAACACAAAGCCAAAACTGATATTTTAAAGCAAGGATCAGAAAAAAGAATATTTACTGAAAATTGTACTGGAGGTACTGACTCGTTGTTTTTAGAAATCACATTTGCACATAAATAACTGCTACATTGCTATGACATCCTTGAGTAAATGTGAATATAAAATGTGAGTATAAATGTAAAGATGCTGTCTTACTGGGGAAGGAGTCTAAGCAGTAGAGAAATTATAAAACTGTTAATCGATAGACAGGTAAAACAAACATAAAATATTTTTTTTAGAAAAGTTAGGAATTGTTAGTAATTCAAAAATTAAGAGATACATGACAAAATACATTTACTTACGTATAACATTAAGTTATTACTGTCAACTCAAATCAACAGCTAAAAAGAGAAAGTTATGTGCATGCACATTAATATTAAAGAAATAAATATCAGCACACTATAATTTCCATAGCAGAGTGGGGAAGCTTTTCCTAAGTTGTAATACAGAACTCTACTGCAGTGCCACGTGGCCACTCACACGGTGGTGGATTTGATGCGAAGCTGGAAGTCTGAAGCTGTTTATCAAAAGCCATAAAGACAATCAGGGTCTTTAGCACATTTCTGTTGCTTTCAGGAATTTGGCTCAAGAAAGTAGTTAGAAGAACAAGACATGCATAGGAAAGTTCATTGCTCTTCTCTTGAGAAAACATGGATGACTCCATGAAGCATGGGTAGGTGGGTGACAGCCCCGGGTGGGCAAGAGGGCTGCATGTGTCATGGGAGTAGCAGTGGGGGTGTGCAAGGCCACAGGGACACACGAGACACTGCTCACACTCGCTATTCATCACAGCCGCCTGGTTCCTCCTGCCTCATTGCAATTTTAAAACCATTTATACTGATTTTATAGTAAAAAGAAAACCAGACATAAAAGTGGAAAATGCAAATATTTGAAGATGTTTAAAAATATTAAAACCCACTGAGAAAATACAGCCTGGCAGGTGGCATAAGGGGCCTCTTTGACTCACTGACACCCCACATGTTCCCCAGAAGCCTTCGACTGCACTCAGCTTGCTGGTTGCAGCACAAACATCATCAATTTTCAGAAGAGGTTTGTGGGGAAATCAGCAGGTGGCTGCCCGTGACCTCCCGGCAGCACCCAGCTGTGGACAGTGCAGGCAGGAAGCGTCCTCCTGTGGGCTGGTAACAGCGTCCACCCCAGGGACACTGCGTGGCCTCGGCGTCTGTGAAGCTCAGCAGAGACCCCGGGCTGTGACCTAAGGGGGGGGGGGAGGTCCTGCTGGGACGATGCTCGCGGGGCAGTGCAGGAAGCAGGCTGCAGACCCCACTGCAGGAGAGCCCACTATGGAGATGCCGCGGTCACGGCCAGGACAGAGGGGAGGAGCATTCTGCTACTGCACTATCTCCGCTCCACCAAGACTCAGGAGCAGGGCGGCACCGTGACTGTGTGCAGAGGGCACTGAGGCCAGTGCTGCGTCTTCAGAGAAATGAAGACCGGATGCAAATGGCCATGGACTGATCGGTATCTACAGCTGGAAGACAACCTGGACAGAGTCTTGCTTTTGTTCAAAGTCAAATTAGACATGCTGTGGTGGACAAATCATTTATTAAGGAGTTATATTTCACTGAAAGGAAATCATCAAATTTTACTAGCTATAAAATGAAAAATATTGGTTAATTACATTTCGAATTAAAACATTGCGATGTGACTAAAGCAAATCTCCATGTCAAAAACTATAGATAATAGTCCTCCAACACTTCATGGATAAAAAGCATTTGCTCTATATTATGAAATAAATCATTTCTACATCAGATAACATTCTGATATGCACTGGTAAAAGACCCTTAAACATTCAGTGTCAATATGAGTCTGATTAACCTTAGAATTTAGGTATCACTAATGAGGAAGAATCATGTTTCATTGAAGAAATGTGACATCATAAAGGATGGAGTTACTTGATACAGAGCTAAGTTTGTAGTCAATAATTTGGTAATAGTATTCTTATAGATGTTATAATATAGATTGTGATATTAACTGTTTCAGGCAGAGTTTCTCTAAGTCATTAAGTTGCCCAGGCTGGGCTCAAACTGGGATCCTCCTGTCTCAGCTTCCCAGAGTGCTAGGATTCCAGACATGTGACACTACACCCAGCTCACTGGAATTATGTCTTAAACCAGCTTCTTAGGATACAATTTCCGGTTCTGCTTCAGAGCTTGTCAATGTCACAGCTGACCCCTGGGTCAGAGAACTTTCTCCCAAGGGGCCAGCATCGCTGGCCTGGGCATCATCTCAGACCTGGTACAGGAGGCCCTTTGCCTGTCCACCCCAGCATCAGCTCTTGGAGCCAAAGCGCCAGAGACCAGGATCCACTGCTCTCTGCTGAGGTCTGATTGATCACATTTGTTTTGAGGCCTACCTAAGAGGCTGGGAAGCTGACAGCTGCCCACACACCCTCAGGCGTGGGGCCACGGGTCAGACAGCGTATCTCAGATTCCGGCACGGTGCCACTTCCAGACCCCCACGCGTTCCTGTGCTTGCGAGAGACTCTGCTTTGAAATTCTACATTTCAATGCATTTTCCTGTTTGCCTTTCACAGTAGCTTTGAGTTTGTTTTGTGTCCTTTAGAAAACCCCACCTTTGGGATTCAGTGACATCACGGCAGGTCTTCTGGAGCCTGCATCCTTCCACTGCACATGGTGAACCCCTTTAATGTCGAGACCTTTAGGGTTCTAGCACAATACAGTAACAAATAACAATAACAACGCTGCTGACTAAATCTGTTTCATAAATTTCAAGTAACATCAATCTAGGGTTTCCCAGACTCCCGAAGTCACTGCATTAAATTCTGTGACATACAAAAGCCATGTCAGAAAGTCTCTGTAATCTATTTCAGTCACATGTGTGTACGCTAGGAAAACTACCAGAAAAGCTCACCAGAGTAACTATGTTACTTTCCTTCTGTTGGTTTAATTTTAATTTTTATGTCCAATTTGATCATATGATCAGATAAAAATAGACATTTAGATTTTCACACAAACTCATGTGACCTTCCCTGAACACACTTAAAAGTCAGTCACATTACTATGAGTTAAACAATACTGTGCTCTAGCTCACAGGAAATTTTCCCAAAATACAGGCAATCCATAAGAAATAAAAAGGTGGAAAATCGTGTAAATTTCCTTTAAAAGTTCAGTCTCCTTGGAAATGGATTTGGGCAGTACATTTGTATCTACCTGGAGCATCCAGTGCTGCGCGGCAGGGACAGAGCCACCAGGCCAGAAGAGTCTGCCATGGCCAAGGACATGGGCTCAGGCTCCCACCAGTGCCCCATTGAGCCTTCGGGGGAACCATGTGTGACTCACCTCCTCACGATGCTCCTCGCCCGCCTGCTGGATGTACCACTTAATCGATGCTTGTTGGGATTTAGGAACACATTCCAGGAAGGTCGAATTAAACTCAACGCCAAAAATCACCTTTTCATCAGCAGCTTCATGGCTAATACCTAGAAAGCAAACATGGAATAGGAGATTAACCCTGACCTGATTTTAAAAGCAACGGGAAAATAAACTGATTTAGAACAGATGCCATTGCCAAAGAACATGCACATTGTTCAAGAGAAAGGAAACTCGTGCTCGTAATATTGTTACCTGAGTCACGTTTTATCCAATAAGCTGGTTTTTAAAACTCTACATCTGTGTTGCAATATTTACCCTTTCATCACTATATTTACAACTTACATTTTAAAAAATAATCATTCATAAGATCAATCTGAGAACACCATGTCCAAGTTGAATAAACTGTTGGCATCTTTTAATGTCTTAACACCTTTTTGTTCATATGAAATATAGCAATTTATAGTCAATTCTAGGAGACCAGCTAACTTCACTGTTAAAGAGAAATTGTGTCTCAATTGGCCCACAGAGCAGACTAGAAAACATTAAGATGTTTTGATATAAGAAAAATAACTGCAGTGAAATCCTGTCATGGAAACAAAGCCAGACAAGACCCGAATCTGGTCCCTCTCTGTATTATCTACCAAATTATTTTCTTTTTTTCCAGGAAAATTCCTTAGCCTGCCCTGCGTTTGCTGGGAGATGGTTCATGGGATGTAAGGGCCAGCTTCTCCAGCAGCTCCTTCCCAGAAATCTGCCCGACCTTCTGAATCCACTCCCCCAGGAGTGAGGGCTGCTCCCAGGCTGCAACTCCCATTTGATCCACAGAAGATGCTGGCTGCTGGCCCATGCACTTTCTTAGCGTATCTTCAGACCTCTCAATTCGGCAGATGGGCCTCTGCGTCTTGGCCACCAACCTCAGTGAAAGCTTGAGGGACCCAGGGAAGGCCTAAGCCAGACATACAGGGGCAGCATCGGGGGCACTGTGCACACAGCCCAGTGGCGAGGGTGGTTTTCAAGCATCTGCTTTTGAGTTCATTTATGTTTCACCTGCAATAATGACGCCAAACATGCTGACTCCTCTTGCATTAACCTTCACAACGTGTGGATTCTTTCTAAAACTTGTACCGATCCATGACCTGCAGCTATTCTGCAGGTTTTACCTCCAAGTCCTGCAGCTTAGTTCCTAATGTAGGGAAGACTGCTGGTGCCCACCATGGGCGGGAGACGCAGGTCCCCATGAGGGCAGACATGCACCTGAGCCTGGAGCCCAACTCTGAGCCCAGGGATGGTGGGCATGGGACCTGGGCTCAAGAGAAACTGAGGCAGACTCATCAACCTCAAAGTTGGTTCAGTTAGGAAAGGATAAACTAGCGTGATAAACCAAAAGATGAAACAAGCTTCCTGAAATCCTTTTCGGATCAGCAAAGATTGAATACAACACAAATCCATCACTACAGAAGTTTGACAATGAATCTATTCCTGTTCTAAATGTTTATTTAATTTCTGAATTTTACAATTCCTAATTTTAAAATTTAAAAATTGTGCATTATACATGCATATATAAACATACTACACACATACGCATGCAAACATACATGCAACATAATACATATTCTATTATCGAATGTTTAACCATGTACAGATTGTGCACATACAAACACACGTACAGCACATACTGCGACATCAAATTTTTAAACATGCAAAACTTGCACAAGTAGTATCTGAAAATAAGATATCTCCTTATTAAGTGTAGAACAACTTGAGTGTTTTTATCTTGTAAACGGCAGTCCACAAACTTTCACGGTGGAGTGGCTGGAAGCCTCTTTTTACTGAATATGAGCTAGCTGAGGATAGAGTTGGAGCCACACCCCTGCCCAGCACGTGCAAGGCTCTGGGTTCCATCTCAAGTGTTACCAAAAAATCCAGTATGATAAATATGCAACATACTGAAGTGCAGGGTTGGACCTGGTTATCGTTCCTGAACACAGCTCATCTGCATGTACTGATGATGACTCAACAGTAAAAATGCACTTTCATAGCAGCCAACAATCAATAAACCAGGAAAAGAAGGAAGGAAGGAAGAAACACAGTGTCTGCTGGCCAGGTGTGTAAGACTCGATTGCAGGGAGAAGCATGGCGCACCGTCACGCCAGATCAGAGACAGCTGCTCCCCGTGTCCTTCCTACGGAGCTGCCCGCCTTCCTCCTGCACCCGCTCTAGGTTGGAGGCGTCCTCCTACAAGTCGTTCACTCACAAAACGGTTCTCTGCTTCCAACTCCTCCTATTCCAATCAATAATCTATAGAGGTGTCAATCGCTTTTATTAAAAAAAAGTGTTCTGAGACGTAGGAAATACATAGGTCCTTTTCACCTATGAGATAAACGTGAACATGGAATAATGTAGGCGCTGCCACAAACTTAGCCCAACTTCGTGCGGCATTTCTGACTAATTCCTGTTACTTTGTGAAATCTCACTTCCTCCTGGGCATCACTTGCACGCCCCCATCTGAGGGCCCTGCTGCACCAGCACTGGGAAAGTGCTGTTAGCCAGACAGAGTCACTGCCCTCCTGAGGGGATCAATCACTGAACGGAGAGTGAAGAACATCATCTGTGTGCCAGCTTCAGCAAAGCAGAAGAGGGAGCAGTGTGTAGAATAGACACTGCCAGTGAAGGTCTTCCTGGGGAGTTAACTCGTAAATGTACAGGACGAGGGAGGCACCAGCGTGAGCTTTGGAGAGGAGAGGGCAGCAGACGCTGGCAGCACCAGCTGGCTGCCTGGGCGTGGACCCGCAGGAGGAGAGCAGCCCGGTGTGCACTGCAGCAGGTGAGCTGCCCTTCAGGCCACGGAAAGTGTGGAACTTCCCTGTTCGCGCTGGGAAGCAGGGAGTTTGAGTCAAGGCCGCAGCGCCCTTGAGCGGAGTCTGAGCTGATCCCTCAGGCCCCGAAGTGTGAGCAGAGTGAAGGGGACCCCGCGCAGCAGAGGGGCCCAGGGGAGGACTTGGAACAGGAGCAGGGCGGCAGGGAGGCTCCCGGCCACGGCCACGGGGCCAGGCGAGCGGGCGAGGCTGCCTCAGGCCGCGGGACTCCCCCGAGACTGGAAGGACTGGAAGGGGAGAGACACTACTGGCTGTTTCTGGGCCCGGCCGGGGGTGGGGTGGGGTGGGGTGGGGGGGCTGGGCCCTGAAGGGAAGGGGTCTGCAGAGCCAGCAGGCCCTGAGCTACGAAGGCATCTCCCAGGCGAAGGTGGGCTCAGGGGTGCTGTGCAGGGCAGGACGGGTGGACGGACGGAGTCTGCAGACAGGGCCCCTTCCCACCTGGACTGAGACTTGCGGGGGCTGAGATGGAGACAGGAAGGCAGGAACAGGAACGGGAGTGGCTGGGGACAGGCGGCGCCGGGCTGGGGGCCTTCCCCGAGCAGCAGGCGGATCCCATCCGCAGCATCCCCGGTTCTCCCTGCATCCGTCCACAGCTGCCTGAGTGATCCCGCTGCCTGAGGCTGAAACCCGCTACACTCCCTACGCCTTCCCAGCCCCACGGCAGGACGCGGTCAGGGCAGTGCCCCAAGGAAGGAGAAAGGACAGCTGAAGGCACAACGAGAACTGAGGACCGGCCGCTGGGGGTGTCAAGGAGGAAGCGGCCCCTGGCTTCTCCAAGGAAGGCCTGGGCAGAGGCAGGAAATGAGGCCTGGAAAGGCACGCCCGGCCACAGCGGCCACGGATGGGCCTGCAGACCACAGCCTTCCCTTCTCCAGCTTCAGTGCTCACCACCGGTCCCTCCCCGAACGCGCATTGTGGGACTGCATAACTTTTGTTCCTTTTCTCCAGCCCCATTGTGATTAAATGTGAGCTAATGGATAAAGATGCGTGTTAGTTTGGGGACACTAGATAAAATCTGTAACAGACCTAAAGTCCCAAAGTAAACTACTCAACTCCTTGTTTGCCCAGAACTGATGTTCCGGACACCACAATCTACAGAACAAGCTGCAAATGTCTGCTGACCATCAATACGTGACAGTCGACCACTAACCTTTGTCCCTTTTCTTCAATTCTATATGTTAACTTCCCCCTCAACCCCCTATAAGAGCAGCCTTGGACTCTGAGCCAGTGGCCTCTCTAAGCTACTTTGCTTTGGGAGTGCCGTCCGGCCAGACTAATAAAGGTCTGTTTTATTTTCCAACTTGTCCGGTGTGTTCCTTCCCGGGTGTTCTTCTCTGCAGTCAGCTCCTCGGAGGGTTTGGTAAGGCCCTCAGTGTTACAGCATGAGCGTACAAATCCCGGGGTCACTCACACTGAGTCCCTTCTCCCTCTTCCGTGTGCGCATGCTGGACACCTGTGCTGGTCTCTGATTAAACCCGTCACACGTGTCAGAATCCCATATAAGGGACGCAGCCACGAATCCCAGTAGAACCCGAGTGAAGCAGTGAGATGCAGGGACAATAGGAAAAAAGTCAGACTTCTAGAGCAGACTTTGCCTTTCAGAGGAGCAAACTCGGGAGTCTAAGATAACCGCCTTGCTGTTAAAACAAGGAAATGCCGCTGGGCCCAAAGTTGCAGTCTATGGGAATCTGGGGTGGGTGCGGTGGGGGTAGCAGTGCAATGAGGAAAGGGCTTCTCTTTTCTTCTCCCAGTTGTGGGCATGGTGTGTGTATGTGCGTGTGTGAGCATGCGCATGTGTGTGTATGTGCATGTGTGCATGTGTGAGTGTGTGCGTGTGCATGCACGCGTGTGTGTTTTCTACCTTGAGGTGCAGTTTGAGAATGGAAAGCAACTACGGCTCCATCTATTTTCGGGTTTTTCCCGGCCTTCCCTCCCTCTCACTCCCGTTCTTCCTTCAAGACCCCCTTCCTGGGAGCTGTGTGCTGCAGAGTGGTGCTGCCTCTGCTGATGTGACCCCTTCTGCTTGGCTCTCAGGTCACTAACTGCTTTATGACGACTCCCAGGACGGGCTCCTTGGAGAGTCTGGCTGTCACACAGAGCCCTCAGGAGAGCTGCGTGTGTGGGTCACTTCTATTCACTGCGTGGGTGGAGGCGTGGATTCCTAAGTGAGCATGGTCCCTAGCTGCCTTCTAATCAGGACCGGAGTTCCATTGCCCTTTCTAGGAGGTCTCTGAGTTTACTCTACACATCCGAATGTTTTGGGCTGTATCCTGCTTTATCTCTAAAGCAGTTTTCAGGCTTTACAAGGATAAGGCAGTGAAAATGAAACAAAAGCCACAGCATAAGAATCTTAAACGACATGTGAAACCAATCATAATGTAACAAAGGATTATTCACTTAGGTATGTAGAAAGGGGTTGACTTATAAATTTCCTGCTGCTTTTCCAGAACATAAGCATTACATGAAATGAGATATTCTTATACAATAGATGTTTGGAGACATAAAATAAAGACTGAGATTATCATTTGAGATGAGAAAGAAAGCATAAGAAACCTCATATACTTACTGTCCTCAATGTCCCAGCACTGGGTAATCGGGTCCCCATACTTCACATCTTGGCGTCTCGCTCGCCTACAGAAAGGGATCAAAAGGATTAAACTTTGAGTGTGATGGCCGGAATACAGAAAAGCACGTCCAAAATGGTGTGTAGCTTGGGGGTAGGGTGCTTGTCTAGCATGCATGAGGCCGTGGGTTCAATCCCAGAGCCTCAACCAAAGAAAAATAAAGAAGGCTATGTCTAACATTAGCAGTGTGAGATGCAGAATTATATTTGTAGTCTTGCTCTACTTAAATGGAAGTCATTATTCCAATCAATGTAAATTATTTTCAATACTTCTGCTAGTAGAATCTAATAAAAACTCATTTAACATTAAGAGTATCTGAATTTTACTTAACTACCATTCTTTTTCTCTAACTTGACCAATTATTCAACAGAACAGGTGGACTATAAATAGAATCCAGGAGACACATATGACATGAGGGTGACCACTCTCTTCTGTCAGTCACTGGAAAAGCAGTAATACTGAAAAAGTTTTAATAGGGGTAAGAAAGGGCTCACAAGTATGAAGCACCATATCATGCATAGATTCATGGTTACACAGATTGCTGAGGCAATGAATTTAACATTGTTTGAAGAAGTCCAAGTTTGATATGGCACAAATGGCTACATGGTATTTATATGTGCTGATGTGTAGCTCACATTTTTCTGGAATAATAATAATGATGATGATAATAATATGGTTTCTGCATTATGTCACATATTTTCCTTCAAAGAAAAGAGCAAGTATCATACACACACACACACACACACACACCCCCCTACGCTATGTGTAAGCTAAGGATGGCTTATGTTCTTAAAGTATATTTTCATTTGCTTTGGCTATATTTTTACATTAAAATACATTTATTTTTAATGGTTGCACAAGAACATAAAAATACAAACACTGCACATATTAATGGAGGACCCAGTGATTTTTCCACACGTGTGCCCCTTGTGTAACATGCAAGTCAGGTTAAGCACAGCGCCCCTCCAAACACTAGTCATTTCTTTGTGGTGAACATAACCGCTCCTTTCTTGCCACGTGTAGAAATGCACAGGCCTATGTGACCTGTAGCGCCCTCCTGCACACGCACACACACACGCACACACACGCACATGGGCCACCCGTGCCTGTCTGCAGGAGCACAGCCTCACGGGCCAGCACTCTCTCTCCACTCCCTCCATCTGCCCAGACCAGTACGGCAGCACTAGGCACAAGCTTTCTCCTCCCCAGGGCTCCTGGGGGCCAGCCCACCCGCTGACAGGCTGTCACAGACGGCTCCGTGTGCATCTTCATTCTCCCGTGGACCTGATGTCAGGTCTGGAATGTCCAGGCGTTGTGTCTGCAAACCCGAGACACAGTCTTGGGAAAAGAGGAAAAGTTACAGTGCACATGGCACACAAGGTCAAGAATGTTTTGGCTTCTTAAGGAACGGGGTGGATTCATCAAGCTGAAGGGTTACTGCCAGCTACTGAGCATTCAAGCAGCCCCTAAAGCCTCAGCATGACTAGCCTGAGCTTTACAGAACACCGTGAAAAAGTTTTAGTGCATTTTTATTGTTCATTCCCAATAACTGAATACAACATTTACATTTAGTTCAGAGATGTGAGCGAATGGAGAATGTGTCCCAAGGTTAAGCAATACCTGCTGTGCTCTGCACATCCATTCTGTGACTCCTAGGATGTGGAATCTCACAAATCAGTACAGTTTCCAAAGGAAAAAGTACTCATGCACTGGGACCAACACAAGCTCACCTCTTAATTTGCTTAAAAAAGGACCTAAAGGAAAAAAATCCACAATTTTCTGACATTCTACCTTGAAGAAAATACACTTTAAAAAATAATGTTACTATAATCTACATCTAAAATAATTATTATATGTTTAGCTGGCATTGCTTCTCAATTATTTGGTATTAAAATAGTGTTGAGATGCATATCTTATAACCTTGTGGTGTTTCACACAAGTGTGTGTAGAATAAATCCCTAGATGAGAATGCTTGGCTCAAAATAGCATTATTTCCAGACCACATAAAATAATGATCTACAAAGGGCAGGGGAGCAGTTTACTGAAATGCATCTGATTGAAAGAAATTGATGTATTAGAGTAAAACTAAAATTCTACCAAGACATTGGAATACATAATCTGCACTTTTAGGAATACATATATTTATAAATAATTTACAAAACAGTAAGTAGAAATACGTGCATATTTAGAAACAAGAGGGAAGGAATGTAAAAAAGAAAAGTAATGAAGAAAAACAAACTTTTAATGGTGAGAGATGTAAATGAAAGAAAATGCCATAAACAATTTATCGGAGTTTTCAAAGTTCCACATTTCTGAATTTCAGAACATCTACTCTACCCTCCTTCAAACTTTAGTTTTAGGTGCAGCGATGAAGCGGCACTGGAGGGGTCACATTGCTCCACTCCCACGGACCGGTCTCCGTGGACCCCCGTTTAGAGGAGGCCAGGCCGGACGTATGCGGCTCACGGAAAGGCGGCTTCCACAGGGCCAGGCTCTTACCTCTTGGAGGTGGGCGCGTACCGAGAGCAGGCGTGTCCGTCCCAGGCACAGTAAGGGTCTCTGGCCAGGCAGCAGTCCGCACACGCTTTCCCGTAGGTGTCGCATCTGTGCAGGGAGAGCTGAACCAACCCGTCTCGGGAACCAACGTACAGCTGTTGCTGGAAAGCAGGCAGAACAAACGCATGGGAAGCGTCGCTCAGTCTGGGCTTAGGACTTCCTGTCCTGGGATTCCATGTGGCCGCTCTAGGTCTGTCTCCCCAGTGTCACACACTTGTACAGGGACATAACGGGGGTCACCCCTCCTTTCCTTTCCGGCCCAGACTGCCAGGGGTGAAGATGTTGACCCTGAAATGGGCATTGCTCCCTACAGCTGAGGGAGCTTCCCGGTGATCCAGGGAGGTCCTAACCCTAACCCGCTACCACACTGAGAAGGGAGACGCCAGCCCTTTCTCCACCGCAGGAAGTACACGTGGGACGCCGCCGGTGAATGACTGCCCCTCCCCTGCCACAGCCCCTATGTGAGGTGACTGCGGAGAGAATCGGAAACTTTCTTCTGTTCTTAACTAACCACCGCATTTGCTACGGAGTCCTGACCCCTGAAGGAACGTGGGTCCTAAGTGCTCCAGGGAGCATCTGGGGTCCCTGTGAGGAGAGTGCTGAGCAGGCTGGAGGGACGCGGGGTCCGTCCCGGGGTGCCGAAGGCACAGCAAGAGGAGACACATCCTGAAAATCGGCCCGAGATGGCGCACTCCTCCGCATGTCCTCCCTCGGGGTCTGCCTGCCGCAGTGCCGGGGCGCAGAACCACACTCTGCCTTCACAGAACCCTGGCCAGCTGGCCAGGGTTCCCTGCAGGGGACGCACCTCTGAAACAGCTTCCAGCGGAAGTAACAGGCGGAAATCTACCTCTGCTTTCACTGCCCACTAAGCCTTGCCTGGTTCCTAAACGCAATGAACACCGTTTCTGTTCTATGTAAATTCTCTACAGCCTTTGAGATGGGTGAGACTACTTTTCTTAAAACTCTCCTCTTTTTCCCATTCTCTTATTTCTGCCTCGGACATTTGTCTCCTTTGTGATTTCTTTCTTTGAGCTGTATGTGGGATCTCCTCCTTTTCTATTCTCGTTCCTTCTACACTTTCAACGGTGCAGGACCCAGAGGTGTCCTCCAAACAAGACCATGAGCAGCGCTTTCCCGTGCGTGCTCCTCACCAGGGCCCGAGGCAGAACCTGAGCCGCCTGAGCTGCCCTCACGCTCGGCCAGGCGCCACCCTGTTTCCACTTGGTCACACGGCCATCTCCAAGGGCTTCCCCTTCCCACCGCTGGGCTCCTGTCTCCTGGACGGCTCCAAGTGTCCCAATGTCCTCTGCTCCCTCAGCCCCCGCCTCTGCCGCGGGACCCCACCCATCCTCCAAGCTGCCGCAATGTATTTCCTTCCTCCTAAAGGGAAAAGCTGCGGCTGACAGCTCCCTGCAAAACCTTTACCCGTAATGCTTTGCACTGTTCTGGAGACAGACCGTCAGATGTCTCAGGAGGACACGTCAGCGTGGGCCTAGCTCGCGCTGGCCTAGCGTGCAGGTTCATTTCTGACCTCTTCTCTCTCGAACGTCCCTCGGCCCTGGCATCAGCCGTGTGGGACACAGCCAGAGCAGGAGATGGCCTCTCCTCCTCCACGACTCTGCAAGCTCGCGCCCCTGCACCCATGCCCAGCGCCGACAACGTCCTTCACCGCCCAGTCTCGCTGTCCTCTCGGGCTCTCTTCACCACTCCTGGTGACTCATTTTCAGGCTACCTTCTTCCTCCTGTCTCTCGCGTTCATATTCCAGTCTTTATTCTGCATTGTGAGCATGCCTCACGACTTGAGCCTCTACCCCAGCATGTGGCGGTTAATGCTATGCCATTGGCTCATTTTCTGAACCCTAAAAGCACAGCATAGGTTTTCAAGAAATGTATGTTGGATAAATGAACAAATTAGTGAAAAGATCTGAAGAAGAATCCTATTTAGATCTTTCCCTAATCATGGTTCTGCTATTCTAGGCAGAGTAGATTAGGAAATTTTAGCAATGCCTTGATGTTGAACATGCATTATCATATGATTTTCTTAAATCTTCAGAAATGGTAATGCAAGGATCAATCTCTTAAATCAGTTGGGATTTGGAGTATCATACCCAGGGACTGTGAAATCACATTATCCAGTAATCAGTGAGCTTCCATCCTCTTTGTACTTATAATGTATTTCTCTCTTTCAAACACTGCCCTGCTACATCCTGTTTAAACTCACATTATACATGGGAGGTTTCTCTACTTCGCTACTAAGGACACTGATTCTCAGAGTTAGATACTGAGTGGTATGAGGAAGGTTGACCACACTCCCTAGTGAAAAATTTTAAGTGGTTAAGACTACTATTTTGTATGTATTTCTTATGACCTTGACAGAAAGACACCCTTATGAAGCCAGAAAACTAAGCTCAACTTTTACCAACAAGGAAGAGAAGAAAACATTGCTCAATTGACAAACTCCCCATTCTACTGAGGCAAGGCTGAAGCAATGGTTTCTAATTAATAAGAGAAATAAAAAAGCTTTAACTTTCTACACTATTTACAATTTAATTTCCAATCTCAATGGATTCTTCAGATGAAGTTTGTTCAAAGCAGCTTGTTACTCTTGTGGTTAATTCTTACACAGATAGGAGAAAGTACCTGCTTCAGAGACAGCTCCATGGCCAAGATGCTCCGTGAGTGCTGAAAAGGGAAGAGACATCAGTAAAGATAATTGTTCACAGTCTTTTATTCTAAGCACTCTGTTTTTCTGTCTTATACTAAAGAATATGGACAAAGAAAAATGGATCTTAGTGTTTGCAATTTTCCTGCAATGTGTAGTGATTCTACCATAATAGAAATGATGAAAATAGTCATTTTAAAGTATCTGATTAAAGAAAAGTACCTAAATGTAAGAAGAAACGCTTTGCATTGAAAACTGTTCCCAGTTACTCACAAATTTTCCCTTTCTTCAAAATCTGCTTTTCTTAACTGCTTCCATATAATTCAAACTAGTGTTGCCAAGAACATCTCCATAATTACGTATTGCCTCTTTCTGCTCCTACGTAGACCAGCGACTCGCCCTGCATAGTTACCCTGCTTCTCATGGGTGTCAGGTCCTCTGTGGAACATCTCAGGATGCAGGGCAGACCTTTTCAAGACCGGAGCTAAGGCCAATTTTGTATGTAGACAACATGGTTCTATACATGCAAGGTAAAGCCAGAAATGTGAACATACAGGCTGTTAAGTGAAAAAGAACAGGATTTAAAAAATGACAGCTGTTTTATTAAAGGTGTGAAAAGAAACAAGCTCTGCAGAATGAGTTTGGACCCAGCAAATGTAGGAACAGAGTGGACCCTGCAGCGTGAGGGCAGCCACCGTGCAAGAGAGGACACAGTGGCTGAGCAGGGTGTTTTATAAAAATTATCCCATCTATCTTTCATGCATCTATTTATTCACCTGCCCTCAGCCTGTATTTACTAATCAACCAACAGTAGTAGATGTCAATGCAAATTTGTAAGAGAGAGTTAGTAAGTGAGAAAGTTCCATCCAGCAATTTTTGTGCTGAATTTTTAACTACAGACAAACTCATCAAATCATGTAAATTAATTGCATGTGGGATTTTTGTTCATGGAGTATATGTCAATAGAGCTATTTTATAAAAAGTAATTTAAAAAGAGAAGAGGACAGAGTATGGCCAGTACTCGGCGAGCAGCCCCTCCTGACTGCTGTTAGTCACCGCGGAGCAGGGCTTGCTCAGAGGGCTTCGTACACCCTCTGGGCTCACCCTGACATCTGACTCTGGCCCTTCCCTTAGGAGCCACCCAGCTTTTGTTTGGGTGGAGGCTTGCAGGCCTTGTTCTTGCGAACTCCCTGACCACTTCCATCGCCCCAGTGGAAACAGGACCTGGGGCCCCTCCTGCTGGGTGTGGGGTCCCTCGTGTGTGGAGGGCTCTGCTCCCCTGTAGGGAGGAGATGTTTACGTGGAAACAGTTATCAAGAATCTGCTTCAACTAGATGTTATGAAACAGCATAGCATGTTTTTAAAGGCTTTTCTAAGAAGTAGAATTTTATTTCTAATGTTTTTATCAGGAAGTAATTTTAAATTAAGTTTCATTGAGGCTTTATAAGGAATGTCACGATTTAAATTTATTGTTAAAAGTCAAAGACATTACTGAAACTTGCAGGCCTCTTCCAGTTTTTCTAACTCTCTCAGAAGGTGAGAAGAATGACATATATGAAGAATCTCCCACACGAAAGCCATGCGATCCGGCAATCTGCTTTTTGTTGAATTTCCTTACAGAAAAGCAGGGACACATGATATCTATGCTCTTCCAGTTTTCTCCAATTCAATGGGGGAAAATTGCAAGGGGGATTTACCAAGCAGGAAAGTGTCTGGACAGTGAGGGAGGCCTCAGGCTCTCAAGACTGCGGCCATCTGTCTGACTGCTGTGTGGGGGATGCGGAATGGGACACGGCCCAGGAGCTACCATAGCACCCACTCTGTGGAGGGAGCTGAGTTCTGGTCTTACTTGCTTATAAAATTTTTCTGATGCTTAGGGAAAAGGAAAACAAGGAAGCTAATTTTTTAGCGGAAAAGCGATGATGTAAGGACGCGATCTTGCCCTCTCCTCTGCCTCCTCTTACCTTGAAGACCTGCAGCTCCTCCAGCACGACTTCCTCCATGCTCCACTTCTCCTTGGAAATGCTGACCACTTTGAGCACAGTTCCGATGTCTGAAAAAACACATCACCCATGATCCTGCCCTCTCTGCTTCAATGTCCAGTGGTAAGCATATTCCTAGAAACCTTCCAGTTGTTTCTTTCATTTCCCTTTAAACGCTTTTCAAGAAATCAGATTAAATAAAACATACAAGAAATAAAGTTTAGTTAGTGTATATGATTTTCCCTTTCTGAAACGTTGCGGCTTTTAGCTAGTGGAACAGATATGCATAAGGAGAATGTTGAAAGAGACATAGACAGAATATATTGCTAAGCCTAATTTAAGTATTGTTTGAAATTACAGCAGAGATGAAACAAAATTTCAAGATCTTGATTTAAAAAGTTAAAATGTATTAAAATAACTGTCACTCTATGTACTTATCTCTATGTGTGAGACATTTTCTCAGTGTTTCTTATAACCAATTCATCACGAAATATAAGATATATATTCTTTTAATAATGTTAACAAATGGATAAGAAATGATTGAGGCAATCTAGGGGAACTGTAGCGCCTCAAATGCATTCTACCTTTAGAATCAGTGTTCATGGACCAGGAGCTAAGATTTTGTTTAAAATTGTTTCCGTTCTACTTAATAGACAATACAATATCAATAGTGTAAAACTAAAATCAGTGTTTAGAAAGGATGTCTTAAATACATCATTTTGTATTGTAGTTCCACAAGGTGGCACACTAATACAAAAGATAAACAAATACTAGAAAAAGAAAAGAATAAATCCCATTTTATAATTAATTTGTATGAGACAGATACCTTTAATTCTGAGCCCTGGGCTTTCATTACTGGAACATAGATAGTATTTTTCCTAAATGTACAAAGTAACTTGGATTGTTTAATTATTTTTCAATGATTCTGGGATCTGAAAGGTATTAAATAGACACTTCCTAAATGTCAAGATTCACTATTTTAACACTGCTGTGATTTTCTCAGTAAAAGTTACCTAGTACCACCTAGTGGCTGAATGACTTTGGGATGTGTACCACTGAAGACCAAGAGTGAGGGCTGAGTGACACATTAAGTGTCACACAGGCGAGGGTCTGCATGACCGCTGATTCCACTCTGGACCCTGCGTCCGGCGTCCCCAGTCCTGGGGGCCCTTCCATGTGTGGCTCTCGGAGTTGCCAAGCCTCCCAGCCAGCTGGGCTGGTGCCTGAGGACGTCTGAGCTCAGCACACACACAGCGCCCTAAGGAGCCTGTCTTCTGCAAAGCCCAGGGACATTTCAACCTGAATTAACCCTGCAAGGGTCTTCCACTCTTAAAAGCCTGTCCTGACAGAAAAGTCTGTCCATTAAAGGTGCACTGATTTCTGCTCCCACTGGAAGACACGGCATCGTCTGGGGGCATGCTTATGCTCTCCTAAGACGTGGTCTGCTAGAATTCAGAGAAGTATTGTTAGATTATACGTTTTCTGATGTTTGAGATGTTCAAGTAAATAACACGTCCCTTTCAGAAAAATATGTTAGTCATTTCATAATTAATTACTAAGTTGCTAGACCAAAAAGAAATAAAATGAGCTCCAATCGAGAGAAACAATAAAATTCACTTTACTCCACAAAATTCAAGAACAGGAAAAAATCTCCAAGAAGTTTCTACTTAGAGGTCACTGCAAAGTAATCCTAAGTGCTCAGAAATGCTATCCTAAGTTAGCCACATCAGTGCCTCTCAATTCGGGTGAAGAGAGGCGCGTAGAGACAGGTCAAGTCCAAGTCTGAGCATACAGAACTCACTCAACTGCACTCCACAGTTGTCCAGTGAGCAGGGACTGAGCACCTAGTTGATGATAGGCCCATTGCAGCCAGGAGATACAAATATGTTTTGAAATTTCAAACAGGACATTTATGATTATCAACTACAGACATGCACTGCACAATTTAAAAACTATTCACGAGGTACCAGCTGATAACTACCCATGCTGCTTCTCCAGTAAATCATTTGGAAGCTCTTGTTTCTGCAGCACATGGGGCCCTGTTCCTGCGACCTAGCGGTGGCCCAGCCAGCGCTCACCTGTCCCTAGGAACATGACGTCGTACTGCCCGTCCTCAGCCACCACGTGGTCCACCACGATCTGTGTGAGCCTGTAGTCCACGTTGATCCGCTTGAAGCTCGGTGCCCCTGCGGCTGGGTACACGGCCTTGTACATCAGCGGGTGTCTGCGGATGAAGCTGACCACATCGTCGGGGAAGTCTCTGGTGGACTTGATCAGTGGGTCATAGGTTCTGCTGGGACACTGAGGAGAGACGTGCAGGGAGAAGGGCGTTGCTGTCCACCCGGGCCACTGGATGACGCCGCCAGGAGGACAGAGGCCACGCACGGAGTCGCTGCCTGGGAATGCACGCAGCGCTTCCCCAGTGTGCTTAAATCTGGCTGTCTCCCTAAAAACGCTCTAAATTACATCTAATGTTTGGACTTTTCAAAGTTCCCATGGTCAAGTCATTTCCTATGAAGATTAATTCCATATAACAATCGTTTCTTTTTTTTTTTGGTACCGGAGATCGAACTCGGGTCCTTGCACTTGCGCAGCAGGCAGCGAAACCACTGAGCTAAATCCCCGGCCCAACAATTGTTGTTTCTAATGAACACTCTTGAAATTAAGTTGGAACAACTGTGAAGAAGCTGACTGACAAATGTGAGAATATATCGGAAACCACTCACTTTCAATTTCTTTTGAGTAAATCCAAGATTTCAGTTCAAGTGAAACCATGATTATTGAAAATTAAAAAGAACAAATCAACAGGTCACAAAATAATGTCAGCAGAGCTTCATTAGCTTGCAGTTGTGATTATCTAGTTGTATAAAGCTGGTCTGAAGTTTACCGTGAGCAGTGGAGCCATTCCTCCCATGGGATCTGTGAAGACCCTAATAAATACTTAGCATAACCTGCCCCCTGGTGGTAAAATAAAAAGTACAAATTAGTACAAATATAGTGTGCTTTTATCTGAAAACACACAAACCACTTTACCATTTTGCCTATTTTTCCAGAAAATATATACTCTCTCACATGCTCAATCTAATTTGTTTCAAATATTGTAACTTAGATTCTTTACACTTAATTAAGATGTGTTATGTACATGTACGAACTTCCCACAATGAATCTAGTCACTTGGTACTGCAAACACGTGCTAATAAAAATAAGTAAATAAATTAGAAGTAACTAAAAAACATGAAATATTGTGTGGAAGTTCTCCACACGGTAAAATATCATTGTCACATCTGAGTCCTTAGTGGACTAACGAATCCAGGACGGAAGACATAAGTTAACAGGTGCAGATACAAGGAACAGAATGGGTGATGGTAGAGGAATTCTGTGTGAAAGAGTTTTTCCTCTCTGAGCTTTTAGAGGAGTTGGAGCACTGAGCTGTGTGTTCTAGGCACCCAGACTCCCACCAACGCTCCAAGAACACATCAGACCTCTCACCCAGCTGTTCTGCTGAATGCTCAGGAGGTAGTCACCACATATGCCTCTGACCTGAGCTTTTACACCAATAAAATCAGAGTGGCTTATTATGAGTCCTACACATCAAAACTCTACCAAAAACCTGCCAGTGACTCTCTGTGATTCACTGGACAGCGCCTGTCTTTCACGAGACTCTTCCATGCCTGGCAGGAAGAAACGGATCCTCCCTTGATGTCTATTCATTCACCTCGGCCTGCGGCGAGGAGAGAGAAGTGTCCTCATTAGCCATTTGGTACTGACTTAGTGTCTAAGTGGACATTGTTTTGAGGATCAAAATCTGAGCATCCGTCATGTCATTGTTTCTGCACTTTGCTCTTGCTAGGAGGAAGTTGCCCATTTGATAATGGAAGAAGGCCTGTCCTAAACAGACTAACCCGAGACTCAAATGGACAAGGAGCTCCAACAATACAAAGCTCCCTGCAATTACAGGCTCTCAGGCATTCACAGTGGGCCTGCAGCTTTTCACGCCTGTGGCTCAATCCCTCAATCCAGCTGGTCTATCAGGAAAATCAAAGGCAGGGCAAGACTGTGCTTGCAGTACATTTTTGAAGCAGGCTTCCAACTTGAGGAGAAATCTCTTTTGACTTTGCAGCTGTAGCAATGTGGTAGCCAAAATTCCTGGAAAAAATATGACATTCAAGCCATGATTCTCATCTCAAATTGTTAAATAATTAGAAAGTTTAACGTAAGAAAGTCCCACTGCATGATGAGGTGAACCTTTAGCAGAGAAACAAATCTACCGATTTTCCTTATTGCTTGCTTCTGACAAAGTGTAATAAAATCTAAGATGAAGAGAAAGAAAACCTGGTTTCTATTGACTGTTACAAAACGATCTCTGGAAATAGGTTTGCTCTGATGGGGTTTTCCTCCTGGCTGCCATCCGGAGAAGATGCTGGCCTTGACCACTACTCGGTGCATGGGTGGGGTCCACAGCCCACACTGGCACCCCGGTAGTGGGGGGCGGGGGAGAGCAGCTCCGAGTCTGCGCAGGACAGTGCCAGCCTGGCATCGCTATCTTTGTGTCTCACTCCAGTGGGGTTTTTGCCTTGACACCAAGTGGCTGAGAGGCATGCAGATCTCAGAGTAACTTGGGAGGCCGCACAGGCAGCATGCTGAGATAAGATCACAGGGAGATTCCATGAAGGAAACACACAGCCTGGGGACATGTTACATCTGAAGCAAAAATCACAGCCAGTTACTTAGTTTCCTTAGAAACTCCTAGAAGATCTCCCTTCTGCAGCTAGTGTCCCAGGAGTGAGAACCTACTGTGCTTTTCCGTGTCTGGGTCCTGCTAACTTCCCGCTGTCACCCACAGGCCTGGTCTCCTAGCAGCCGCTGCTGCTGCTGCCCCAATAATGTGGCGACTCAGTCCCCCTTCACATGGGTTTGGAAATCAGCAAGACAATTTAAAGTCTGGGGGGAGAAGGAAAACCAGAAGGAAAGGAAAGCCATTAGCTGTACTTTAAGACAGCAGTACAGTGCTGAGCCATCCGCGCCTCTGAGACCCAGACATGAAAGACAGCGCCTGGCAGCCAGGCGGCCAGGCCCCGGTCAGCGTGGTCTCTGCGGTGGGCAGGTGGCCACCGGGTAGGTGTGACTGTGTTGCGCTTGGCACAGAGCATGTTTGTGCAAGGCCCGCAGGAGAGGCGGGGGAGGCCACGGATAAGAGAATAGAGGCCGATTTTGTCCGAGGAGAACTCTGCCCTTGGCCAGGCCCCGGACAGCTGTGAGAGGTTTTCTCTGGGCTGCAGTCTCCTCTGCAGGTGGCAGCTTCCTTTCAAACCAATCCCCGGGCCTAAGAGTGTGGCAAGGAAGGACATCCCGGCTTGGTTCCAAGCTGATAAAAAGCCCTGGAGCATCTTAGGAGTGGTGTGTAAAGGAAGTCTGATTCCTTCTTATTATGCAGAGTGCAAATGCAGACGGCTGCCTCATCACCTGAACCCTGAACGTCCTAGAAAATCCAGAGGTGGATCACCCGCTCTCTGCTTTTCAGATTTCTCTTCCTTTACAAGAATTTCTCTCCCAGAAAAAGCAAAACACTACTGAATATAGTAAGTCACCAGGATTTGGAGAACCTAATTTGCAAAGCAAACATTGGCTCTATCACACACACGTGCACACAGGCACACACTGCTGGCTGGGAAAGGTAATTCCAGTCAGCACTGGGGAGAAACATCATGGTGGGGCCTGGCTGCAGGGACAGCCCAGGAGAGGCTGTGTCCTGCATGTCCCACAGCGGCAGAGGCAGGGTCAGAACTGGGAGCCCAGTGGCTCAGAGCCCAGTTCTGACTCTGCTCCTCCATTCTAGGAAAGGACTGCAGATCTCTTCAGCAACGTAGACACCAGTGGCAAACTAAGGCTGTTACCAACAAAAGAGAAAACAAAGCAGGCTTCACTGGGAAAGAGATGTGGAACTGGTGAGGCATAAAATGAAAGTCTGCAAAGCTTTCTGCACATTTTGAATTCATCAGAAAAGCTTCCTGAAAAGAAAACACAATAAGCAATGACAATAGCACAGCATTCATGAGCAATGACACAGCGACAGCCATGTCCTGCACGTGTAGGAAGGAGAGGCAAGCCTCGGACACTGGGAGGGATTCTCTACATTTTTCTTTCCCTTTGTTGAGACTGTTAGAGTCTAGCACTCTAAAAATCAGGAGGAAATTTTTCATACTGCTTTTGAAGTATGTATTTTTCTTTGGCCAGTTTTACCCACATTCAGAAATCAGTCATCTGCCTTGTAAAAAATACTCTAACGTAAAAGGGGCAACATAGTTTATAATCAATCTGCACACTTTTAGATATTCTTTAATTTAATAAGAACATCAAATTCTGAGAGGCCCCAGCTCTTTACTGAAAGAAGTGGAGATGGGAATACATCAGTGCTCAAAGCACATAGCCAGATGGAACCTAGAATCTAGGACGAAACAGGGTGCCTGAAGAAGATGAATTCATGGGTTCTATTTTCACCCCAAAGCCTAGATTTTTGAATAAAAACCATGGTAAAAGTTGGGATTTCTCAACAATCATCATAATTCTGGTCAAAGAAATTGTATGTGCTGATCCAATCAGGATTTGGATTTGTGCAGACGATTCATGAGCTAAGCCCAGGTAATTCTCAGGGATGCCCCATGTGTTCAAGTAGAAACATCTTCCTCACAGAGCTGGTGATGCAGGACCTAGGCTGGTCCAGGGTCATAGTTCTCACAAGATGGATTTTTCAGGGGACCTGGAATCACAAGAACCTGGTGGTGCGCAATGTCTTTTCAGTGTTAGGAAGCATCCAAGTTGGTGGGAAATAAGAACTGCTAGCTGTATCTGCTCTCACATCCTGAGTCCAGCGGGTTTATCTCATAGCAGAAAAGGACGGAAGAGCCTGACTACAACAGGAAGACAGAGATAGGTCTGCACTTTGATGTTTTTCTAGAGAAAAACACAGATGTGGAATTGTAGCAGGTGGGGCTTCTTGGTGAGAAGATTCGAAATGTTTTAGAGACAGAGACAATACGTCATTTACATTTAGTGGAGGCTGAAATATTGTTTAACATAGTTTTCGCTGTGGGCTATTAAATTGAAAATTAAATTAAAGTTGAGGTAGTTAATATATAAATATGACTTTTTTAAAACTTTCAATTGTATAACGATCTGAACTGCAAAAATACAGGTAGAGAGGAAGTTTATTCAGGGAATATTTCAGATGTAAAAAGTTTTACAGACCATTTCAATGTTTCTTTTAATCAAGTTTTACAGATATTCTTAAGTTTTGTCGATCAAGTTTTAAAGGACATTTTTTTATTTATGTCCTCTTTTTTTCTCACTAGAAGGACACTTTATATTCAGAAATTAATATAGAAGGACAAGAGACAGGAAAAAGGTGGTCAGCTTAGTGGTTTTTGATATTTTATGTGGTCTCTTTCTCCAACATAAAAAAAAGGATTAGACAAAAGAAATCCAACCATAGTCCTTACACTCAAGGGAAAAAAGAAGAACAGAGATTTAGACAGAGCTGAAAACAGGCACGGTTCTGTGGGTCTGGGGTTGGGACAAGGTGCACCATGGTGAGATTTGCACTCGGCACACTGTCCGAGTCTTCCTCCACTCGACACTGCTCCTGGACACCTGCTTCCCTCTCAAACTTCTAAGCCATGAAATTCCCCACAGTGCATGTTCTATCTGTACCACCTTGAAGATATCTATATGCACCCTACGATAATTATAAACACATGAACTGTAAACATTTAAAAAAAATTCAAAAATTTAAAAACATCTATATGTGAAGAAAGGATGGGTAATGGGTTATACCGACGTTTAATAAGATGGTTAATGAGAATTGCAATGTGTTTGTCCTTTACCAGGACCCATAGTAAAATAAAGCTATGAATTAATAATGGCACCTAAACCACTTCCTTTCGCTCCCAAAAAGTGGGCAACTGCTGGGGTGATCACGTCTTTTAGTTCTTGAAAGTCAAACTACATAAAATAAATAACAGTAAAAGCAGTAGCCACTTAGAAGGAAACAGAATTTTAAAGTGAATTATTATTTTAACAAAATTAGACATTGCAGAAATAAAAACTGTGACAAGATGGCTCAACAGTAGTAAAATGTATGTTTCATAAGTATTTGAATTTCAAAAACAACAAGTACTTTTCTTACTTTTTTGGTAACGGTTTAAAAGCCAAAGCTCAGCGATGGGTAGCGCTGACCATCATGCTACATCTATGCCAAAGTCAAAAATTACGTTAGTACAGAATAACACTATTTTATGTATTAAAACTGAACTCAATTATTTCTCGTAATCACATGTCAGAAGTGAAGCATGCTTCTGCCAGTCTCCCCAGTCTGGGTGCTCGGGCTGAGTTCTGATGGGGCCCAGGTGGCCATGCCAGGCCCTGGGATGGGTGGGCTCTGTCTGCTCCTTTCATGTGGCGCTCCTTACTTCCAAACGCTCTGAGTCAGCAGTGGCTGCAAAAGCCACCGGGCAAACTAGGAACTGCTTGGAGAGCCTATCTGGACAGCAGAGGGCAGGAGAATCACTTGAAGTGAAGGAATTCTGTAAACGCACCCTGCAGACTTGCAGGCTTTTTAAATTGTTGAGTAATGCGGTGAGCAAGGGGATTGGGTTTGACGTTTGGTCACTGAAGTACAGCGTTCTGTTAAAACCAAGACACGAGTGTAGGCAGGGCAGCTCCTGTGCCTGTAGAATTTTTTGAGAGACAACACCAGGACAGCTTCCAACCGGCAGAGTAACTTGGGATTCAATCTTAAGAGCAATATGGATACTGAGAAGGTAAAAGCAAAAGTGTTTTTCTAAATGATGCACTTAAGTTTTTTTACATAAGAGTAAAATAGCTGTCAGTAAAATCTGCAACTGTTACATGGAAAGCAACTCACTCAGCATCCCTCTGTTAAAGTAAGGGGTGTCCCAGGAACTGCCATGAAATCGAGTGTGGAGAGAGCCTGCAGAGCCCATTATTCATTCCCAGTGGAGAGGAGAGCTCCGTCCCTGGGTCCCCTGCAGGGTCCTGTTTGCCCATTTGAATTAATGAAGGTGAAACAACAGAGTCTGTGATAGATCTAAACTTAGTGTCTTAATCAGGTCACAGGTTATGAGGCCATGAGCACACATGTAACCTTAGTGCTCTTTTTCTTTTGCATAAAATTGGGATAATGATGCACAGTGAGATTTTAAGAATGTAGCGAGATAACTCATAAGTGAGTATTTACTGGATCATTGGAATGTTCAATTTTTTTTACTAAAATTTCTGAAATGGAGGAAATAGAAATTAGATGAATCACAACTTTTGGTGCTTTCAGAAAGTGCAGATAAGACAGAATGGCAAGAGATGTGATAAAAACAAACACAGTCAATGTGAGGAAGGACATTCATCACTGTATCAGGTGACCAGAGAGTAGGTGGACATCAGCGAGCAGGGAGAGGCGATCAGCCAGAAAACACCAACCAACATTCCTTCACTTCTGCTATTTTTGGCAAAATGATATGGAGAAAATTATTTAATTATTCTGGGCATCAGATTCCTCCTGTGTAAAATAAGAGTGAGTTATGTAGTCTCTATCAGCCATCTCAGTTCTTGTATTCTCAAATTTTACAAGTGTAGTCACTTGATATACTGTAAAGGGTAATTTTGATGATTTTATGAATGCTGAGTTATTTAAGATAGTAAAGTTCATTAGGAAAAGCATGAGTGATATCTGTGTACCGGATTTTCACCTCAGATCATGAGGAATCAGAAAAATAGCATTGTGAGCAAACAAAAAATAAATATCATTCTAAAATAACTAAAGAAGGAAGGGAGTAGAGAGCTTACACATCTACACATTGTTTTAGACATTCCCAAATGTGGTTATAGCAATTTTGAGTGTTCAGCAGCAGACAAGTATGTTTAACACAATTTGGTAGAATCAAGTCAACATGGGTTAGATGATAAGAAATCATTTTTCTGAATCTACAGACACACTGGGGCCTCTGTATCAACACATACCATCCACAGTTTCCCTCGTCCTTCAAGATCTTATTCAAAGGAAAATTTTAAATTCAAGTGGAGGCTGGAAATGCTCTTACATCCCTGTAAACAACAACAGTTGTCTAAAAATCAACAGCACAGGCTGCTATGGGAAAGACTAGTTTACAGTCACAGTCAGAAATCGAACAAGGGACTCAGAGGACTGGCTGGGTACGTACCGTGCCGGGCCGGGGGTACGGGATGCGCCCGTCGTACTGCACCCAGCGGTGGTCCGCGCTCTCCTTGTGGGCGTAGGGCCCGTTGAAGGCGGCCCTGACATCTGCCATGCTGTACACGCACACGGCCGAGCCTCTGAACACGGAGCTGGAAGGAAGCACAGGACCTGGTCGTGCCCCTGGCGCTCTCTCAGCACAGACTGCCCAGGGGCTGGGATGCACCAGGTGCATTCTGCCTAGGGGGCGCCATGGAGAAATAAACGCGCCTCGTCCTCCGCGAGATGCAGCCAATCAACCTGGCCAGTGAGGATGAACACAGCATGGGCGGAAGCCCGGGACCCTGAGGGACACCTGCGTGGGCTGCCGGGTACGGGCAGAGGCAGACGGCCACACGGACGGTGGGGGACAGACAGAGCAGAAGGCTCCCCAACAAACTGGAGGCAGAGAGGAACACGGAGCACGGGGTTCTATTCACCCATAGAGTCTTTCATTTTACCTGAATGATGCCTTATAAAGAGCCTGGAGTGTGAGTGACTGGAGCCACTGTAAAGCAGCAATCATTTACGTACAGGAATAGCCACCGCCTTGTGTTTCTCCCTTTTAATGAGTGACATAGAGTTCAGCTGTTAAATAGTGCGTTCATATGATTTTTACTAGGCTGACTCTTAAAAGTGTGGAAATAACCCTTCTTCACTAAGTCTGCATCCCAGTGACCTCTCTGTTCCTAAGTGCAGACTATGGGGGCAGGGTCACAGGATGGGGAACCAGGGCTTCGGGGAAGCTGATGACCAGAACAGTTAGCACTCAGCTAACAGCTTCTGGCTTTATCTGTGGAAATTAAAAGACGTTTTCTTTGAACGTAAGCCTTCCAATCATTCTGTTCCTGATGGTGAGATCACCCCTTATGAGCTCAGAGATTTACCTCTCCAGGTGACCCAGACAAGTGCACGCTGCTCTAGCTTGAGCAGCTCAGCTGTTCATACTCTTGGGGTGACTTAATGGGGACCATCAGGAGGGAACAGAACACAGGCAGCCAGAAAAACCAGCTGCTGGGAAGGGTGTGACGTTCCCTAAGAGTCACCTATCTGCTCATGCTGCCTACGGCATCGCCCTACTGCGGGCTCATTATGTCTTCTCACTCAACACACGACGTGACATGCACACCAGCCTTACCTCAGTCTTCAGGGCAGCCTTAAAATCAAACAACAAAGCAAACAAAGAACAAAGAGCTGACTTGTACTTCACACTCTGGGTGGGCAGAAACTTGACAGGAGAGAGGCACTATCTCAGGCTGGTTTCCCCGGCACCTATGCCTGTCTCCTTCGGGGAACACACACAGTGACTTCAAAGGGTGTGGACTGGGGCCAGGAAGATAGGAAGCCCCGGTCGGGGCCCTGCTCACTCCCCTGCCCCTTCCACTGTCCCTGTGGAAATCAGCAGAGCCCAGTTCCAAACAGCAGCTTCTCCGTGCATTTCCCTATTTCACACTGAAATATCCACATCCTGTCTGCAATTAATCAAACACTCTTTCGTTTTCTGATCTATTCTGAATGAGTGGAGAATTTCAGTTTATGCAGAAGGTGTTGTGAACTAAATGAGGATCATGACACAGAAAAGAAATTAAACTATAATTTGCCTACAAATTAGTTGAAGGGTTTATTCTGAAGGATACAGCAAAGCCTTTCTCCCATGCTTACACCGCCATCCGATTCTAATGTGCACACGTTGATGAAGACCCAGAGCAGAGCTCAGGAACACATGGAGCAAAACTCCAAGAACACGCAGTACCGTGTGCAGGAGGAGAGGCACACTCTGTGCACAGTGGCCTGGAGTGTACTGAATGAAGTCAAGTGAGGTAGCTGCGACCACAGCTTCTGGAGAAAGCTTCGCAGATGTTAGTAAAGCGTCTAACCCTGTCACAGGCTCAGTCATGTGTACAGGATGGTACTGTGCAGCACAAAGACAGGGACACAGCGGTCGAAAGGAGGAGGACTCTGTTCCGACCCCACTGTTAACATGAACTGGCTGCTTCCTCGGGGTGGCCATGAAAGCCGGCTTCCTCTAACGTGGCCAGGCACAGGACCAACAAGGTGGCCACACTCCCTTCTCCCAGGAGATGTTAGAAGTCAAGCGCATCCCATCTGGCATTTCATTACAGCCTTGATGGTGAACTCAGTCATCGTTCAGGGATTTCTGCAGGCCCCTCTCCACGCCCACGCAGCTCGGGCGGCTGTAGCATGAGCAGGCACACTGGATATGCTTTGGCAGCCGGGATGGACCTAGGAGACGCTCTCGTCCGCGAGTGCAGGGAGTGGCATTGCAGGGCATGTACAGCAGTGAAGGATGCGGCACAGGAGAGCCCTGGAGACCTGCCAGTGGAACTGTGGTAAGCAACGCTGAGGTGCTGCAACGGTGCAAGAATAACCAGGGGAACTTCCATGCGGACATTAAAAGATTTATGGGTTTTGGTGTTTTTTTGTTTTTGTTTTTGTTTTTTTGGTATCGGGGACTGAACTCTGGTCCTTGCGCTTGCGAGGCAGGCAGCAGAACCACTGAGCTAAATCCCCGGACCTTATAAAAAGATTTATAAGAAACACTAACTGAACTGATGAAATGAAAAAAAAGTGTACAAAGAAAGAGATGAGAAAATATCATTGCATTGACATACATGCACACAAAGGTCTTTAGATGTGTTTGAGCTATAGGTCATGGTAGAGCATTTGCCCAGCACATAAGAGGCCCGGGCTTCAACCCCCAGTACTGCAAAATAACCTCAAAACAAAAACCTTTAAAATATTCCAAGTATTTTGTTAAACATACCTGGATGTGGTAAAGACTCCATATACTACAGGATTTCTTTCATCTCTTGTAGGGAGTAAATAAATATCTTCTATTAATGAAAAAAAGTTGTAGTTTATTTTTCAGTATTACATATCTGCTTTTTAATATAACACAATATATCTGAAGCTCTAAACAGTGCTGTATATCCAATTAAATATATAGAGACACTATACTGCGCCTTAGGAATTAGGGTAAAAGTTTCCTTGTTATGTGACACTAAGTTGGACATTTAACCTCTCCTAATCAATCATTTATAAATGAGTTAATCCAATTGATACTCTCTACACCTGTATACCTTTAGGAGTATGTGATTCCATATAAAACAGAAACCAAACAAAGGCAATGTTACCCTTCTGTGTAACACCACGTTGCTCTGTAATGGTGCACCTTGTCAAACTCTGCACAGACTAGGCTACACGGGTAATGTACACAATTATTTAAGATGTGAGTGGGCAAGTTTGGGAAGACAGAGCTAGTGGCAATAACTGTATGTGCCATAAAGAGATTCCTTCCGAGTTGGCTGTTGGAGCAGTGAAGCAGTGAGGGGAAACTGCACCCAAAGACTTTACCTCTTCTCAGCAGCTTCAGTGAAGTAGGGAAACGTCTAAGAAGACACAGTTGGAGCTCAGAGTTCCAGGTCCAGGCTCTCCAGCCAGGGCCTCCTGGACCCGGCCCAGCTCCTCCCACTGCTGAAGGCCTAGCCCATTCAGCAAAGCCCCCAGAGGGTGCAGGGTGCTGAGTCTCTGCTCACTGCTTCCTGCCCATTGCTGAAATTTCATCTCCTTGGCTGACTGGGACCTCAGAAAGAGGAGCTACTTCATCGAGGGTCCACCCGTGTGCTCTGTGTGTGTGGATTCGGTGAGAACCACTCTCTCAAGCTGCTCTGGGCTATGCAGAGTCAGGACTGGGGGCTAACAGGAAATACACTCTGCAGGACTAAGTCATCTTGGGAAGAAGGAACAGGTGACTCACGCAGCTCATCAAAATGGGTGTCTGCCCCGTCGCTCCCAGGAATGGAGCAGACCAGCCGGGCCTTCAGGAAGGTGGTCCACTTGTTTATCAGGCTGCGCTGTCCTCCCACGTCATTCTGCAAAGGGACAACAGCCGTGAAGGGGAAGTTCTGCCAACGGCAGCCTGTCACCAATAATACCACAGGGAGCCCAGCAGGGCCCCACCAAGGGCCCTGTCTCCGGAGACGGCTCTGTCTCTAAACTGAGAGGAGATCAGAGCAAAGCCAGGGCATGAGCTAGCATGGGGACTCACAACCCGTGAGTACTTCTGATAGCAAACAGGGAGCTAAAAGAGCAGTAAAGGTTCAATTTAGAAGCACCAATATTTAGTAAAATGTGTCATATATGAACTAACAATGTGCACTTAATGAACTAAATATCATGCCTTATAAACTGCACTGTCTCGCTGCTTTCACTGACTCCAAGTCATTATGAACGCGCACGTAGAAAATGTGTGTCTCCTAACTCATGATTGCTGAGGGCTAACTACACACACGTGAACATTTACAATCAGAACCAACAGAAGGCTTTTCTGGCAGCAGGATTTGGTCACAGATACAGTCAGGGTTCCTGGTTAAGGTGATAACAAAACGTGTGACAGCTCTCAGTTGGTTTTCTTAGGTTCAGTCTCTTCTCATGCCTCTTTATTGCCTGGATCCCACACTTACTGAGACATGTCACTAATACCCTGTCTATCGGCTCAGTAAATACAGTTGGACGCTTAACAAATAACCACCACTACAAGATAAAGTGGGTAGAAGTCTTTAGAAAGGTACAGAAAACCAAGGAGAATGAATTTCTTCTGAAATTTCTCTCTAGAGGAGAGTGAGGGAAGCCAGCCCTGAAGGGCTGGGTTTAACTCCGTGTCTAGCACAGACAGGTAGATCACTGGACACAGTCAGTGGCCAGTTCAGGAACCAGCCCAGGTGCTGGGCAGGAAAGGACAGTGGTGGGACTACCCAGAACCCTGGCAAGAGCCAGGACAAATTCAGTGTAAGTGAAGAACAGAGAAGGAAACTTGCAAATGTAAACTGAGGTGAGAACAAGGAAGGCTTTAACACCGGGCAGGTTAGATGCGAAACTGCACTTTGATTTTGAAAACCACGCAGCACATCCTGTCTAACGCCCCTGTAGCAATGAGCACGCCTAGGATTCCTCAGATATTTATGGTTTGTATCTGGCTCTTCTCTGACTACCATTGTTCAAGCAGCATTGCAGCTAGTGGGGAATTTCAGGTGTCTGCAGATGCAAAGACAGGCTTGCCTTGGTATTACTTATTTTAAATGCCCATTCCTCAGATCATGTTCTAAATATAAGTCTAGATGTCATAGGGAATGGACAGAAATACTGATGCTTTCTTCTAAGGTAATAGTGAATTCTCTTTCAGTACAGTAGGGTTCCAGCAAGAAAATATGAAATTACTGGAGTAATAGATTTTTAAATTAATTTTAAAATGCAAAGTAAGTTCTTTCTTCATCTTTTTCATGACCCTTGATTTATATCTTTTAAAGTGATATAGATTTTAGTCACATTACTTTTTAGATCTCCAGTTGTATGAAGCAGTCCTTGTTCAAAAAATGTAACTTTGTGAATGATTTTTACATATGTATAGTATTTCTTAAATTTTACTTCCTTGTATTTATATATTTTGAGAGGGTGAGCAGTGACTACTAAAAATAGTATTGATTCAATATACATAAACTTCTCAGGCCTAATGAATGTGATGCTAGGGGCTACCTCTGATTTAGTGCCTTACCCCATCAGAGAGCAAAGTAAGAGGAGCTGCAATTATTTTGCTACATAAATAAACACATGTTAACAATTTTTGTCCAAGGACATTCCTTTAATAACTTTACATGGCACGGTTTCATTCCAAAATTATGTACATTCTTTTAAATATTCAGATACATAACGGTGACAGTAAATGTCCATTTTCACATATTTCTCCCTTGCCGGCTTCAATCATCAGCCACATATAATGGTAACCTTGGGAAGTTTCTAACCTAGCAGCTTGAGATTTGTTGGCTACAGAAGGAATGTGCCTGCACCTGTACTGTTTAAACTGACACACGGAAATTGCAGTCCTGGAAGAAAATAATCTCTAAATGCTCATGCCTACCTGCTCCACCATTTTCATGGCCCCTGGAGGGGCAAAGCGGTAAAGACAGAAGGAAAAAGCCAAGTGACAGACGAAAACCCCCTGCCCTGGTGGGCAGCAGGTCCCAGGGCAGCAGCTCGCGGGCCAGGCAGCAGTGCTCTTCCGGCCAGGCCGTGACCTGCGGCCAAAGTTCAATCCACTCAGAGCTGCCCCCCAGGGAGGTGTCAGTGGGGCTGACTTTGTTTACCCTGCTCTCAGCCCCTGGATTTGTTTGCAAATCCACTCAATCCCGCCCCCCGCCCGCCCGCCCCGAGAACTTAAGCCCAGCACGAGCTGCAAGGAAGATAAGGTCTTCTGCAAACTGTCATCTCCCCGCTTGCTTTGGTGAAGCTCTGGGGCGCACACTGGCCTCACTCACACAGGTTCAGCACTGAGATGTCAGAGTCACAGCAGGAGTCACCAGTCTCCTCTCTGTCTCCACCCTGCCCGGCTGCTTTGTGCTCAGCTGAGCAGCAGCCTGACATCCTCTCCAGGAGATGCAGAACGAGCAACCGAGACAGGAAATGGGAGCAGGCCTGGTGCTGCACCTCTCCGGCCGGGAGTGCAGACGGGACTGCACTCGGGTGCGGTTTTCTGTTTCTCTGCAGCTTTTCACACGTGCAGTATTTCTAAATGTTAAAGCAATGAAGGAAATGAGCAGGCACAGGGCTGCTGAGGCCTGGACTGCATGTGACTACACCACGGTAGGTCAGTGGATGTGCACTGTTCTCCTGCCATCCCAGCAAAGTCCAGTCCTTAGAAGCCTCACAGACACGTGAAGCAGCTCTGAGCTGTCACATGGGAACCTTTGTGGAGACCTCGGACAGGGTGCTGGGTTTACCTGTATGCACCATCCTGTTCCAGACCCCCGTGCACTTTCTAAATATTGTCATCTCCATCCGGATATTGCGAACAGAAGCTCTTAGGAAGCCTGATGTGCGGCATTGGCTTTCTGTGCTGTTAAACTGTGAATATTTCATAAAACCAATGAAGTGTTCAAGACATTTGAGGACACAGTATCCTGCAAAGCCTGGTGTGTGCTCAGAGACCTGCTGGGATGTTCCTGAGCTTCCATGAAGGAAGGCAGACTTTTCCAAACAGAGACTGGAGGAAAATGCACCATTAAGAACTTTAAAAAACAAAAATGGGTTTGATGATGGAGTTAAAACCTACACATTTATCTCCTTTTCCAGAATGCATTTCTTTTGCCTGATGGTACTGTGTCCAGGTGAAAGAATGCAATTCTATGAAGCACTGAAAACTGTAACCTCCACAGCTTCTATGTGCTCCCTTTTTCTGCTGGCTCCTAAATTCCACTTACTCCGAGGTCTTACATTAAATGAATACTACTCGCCTTTTTTAAGGCATAATAAATTGATAAAATACTGCCGCATCCCTGGGGTACTCTCAGGAGGCAACCACACAGGATTTCTATGGGCCATTTTCCATGAGTTTAACATACAAGGTGTTTTTTCTTTAAAGACTTGTATTTGATCGTTCACGTTTCTTATCCAACCTGTCTTTTATATGAAAAGCTGCACCTTGTGGGTTTAGGGGCTCCCAGTTTGAGATGCACCCGTAAATCTACAAGAGGTAATTCAGAGCTCAGAAACAGGGAGACACAACACCAGCCAATGTCTCTCACAGTGGTCTGTCCTGCTGAGGCTCCTCTGAGCTGTGGCTGGTACAGATTTTGGGGAGCTTCTCTGGAAACTTCACCTGAGTGGACAGCATGTGGCTGTGTGTGAATAATAGTGGCAGGAACTGGAACATGGACCCAAGAACCCCACTGGAAAGTGTCGTCCGTCTATTAACATAACTATTACGCTGAAGAGGACGTCCCCTTCAGTGAAGGTGTTCCCTGCCTCACGTGAACTGGAAGACAGATGTGTGTGCTGTCACACACCCAGCGACCATGGAGCTGGAACTATCCTGTACAGCCACAAGTCTTCTTTTGCAATAATTATGTTTCACTCCACTAACTGGTTCATTGGGATAAACCAAAAATTCTGACTACAAAAAGTAAAAAGCAAAAAGAGAAAGATGAAATGACAATACTATTAATGAAGAAGAAGCCTGAGCTCAGCCTCCACGTGAGGTGGGCTGCTAACCTTCTCAGGGACACGGGTTAGAGGGCCAAGGGCATGGTCAACTGCAAGCCAGACGGACAGGTCACAGGGAGAAAACAAGCGTCTCGTTCTGTATTTTCTTGGGAAACTGAAGTTATAGTAGTTTTTCATTTTCTAAAAAGAGCTTTACTCTCACAGTTTTTCCAGGTTTTCTTATTTATTTATTCGTGTTTTTATTTACTGTGCTTGGTGCAGACAGAACTCAGCCGTGGTCTACAATGAGCTATATATCCCTTGACTTTTTCTTTTTTTAATTTTTATGTTGAGATACGATCTTGCTAAGTTTGCCTCCTTGGCCTTCAATTCTCAACCCTCGTGCCTCAGCCTCAGAGTAGTACCTCGGATGAGGGGCCCACCCCAGCTCATCTTACCAGCCTATTATCTGTCAGCACTTGCTTTGCATTGTTTTAAAAGGTTCTGTATCTTTTCTGCTATGTAGGGATCCAAATAAATTCCAGACAGGTTGACAGTCAGGAGGTCTTATTTCACCTGCTAGTAATGACCTGGAGACACTCAGCAGCAGAGGAAACCAAAACATGCAAATGTAAACATCTAAGCCAAAAGAGTAGGGGAAGGAAAATGAATAAACTGAGATATTCTGTGGCAGGCACTGAATACAGTAGTTTTTAAGGGACAAGGAAAAATGTTTCCTTAAAAAACTGTGCTAGTATTTAGGGCCAGCTGTTTGGGATTCACCCTTGAGAGTGACAAGGCAAATGGAAGCAGCACGTTTTCCTAACTACTTCAAAATCTCATGAACATTAGAAATGCAGGCTTGCAGGATACATTATGCTAAAGAATTCCATTTCTAAGGTTTAGCAGATTAAATTACTCGGTAAATGTGGGCATGTTTAGCAGTCTTTCAGGTAGCATCAGAGTTCCTTACCTTTTTTCTCTTTTTCAGCTACATCAAATAGCGTAAGTCCCTGGCTCTGCGTTTCCGAGGAAGGAAAGCAGATGGACGCACGTCTGTAAAGGCCGGGCCTAAACCTCCCACTGAGGCTGGAAGTGAGGCACTGGTTGTAAGCTCAGAGCCCGCCCGGGAGATCTCAGCCTCCGGAAGTGTCCCGGCCCAGAAACACAGGTCTCCAAAGCCGGCGGCCACCCCAGCAGGGCCATCTATCAGTCACTGCCTGGACCCGGGCAGGGAGGGGCGGCCCCAGGCGGCCCGGGAAGGGCATCCAACTTGAGTCCTGGGCACGGACAGGACAGGAGGAAACTGCGGCACAGAAGGGACTGGCCTGCAAGGAGTCAGAGTGGGCTGGCGACAAACCCGAGGAGGCCTTTGGAAAGGGAGCAGAATCCAAAGCAACGCCAGGCAGCCTGGGGGTGGGAGGGCCAGGCGGTGTGGGACGCAGGCACGGGCCTCTCCTCAGGTCAATTCACAGGGAAGCACACAGGGCGGCGAACACTGCAGACTAGACAGTGGCCCCTTGCAAAGCTAACAGACACCAGCCCTCCTGCCCGGGCCGTTCGGTGTGCCTGCCTCCTGTCTGCACCCCATCTCACCAGGCCGGCCTGCGCTAGTGCCTCCCGGCACGGACATCCATCCCACGGGTCCGGGCCCGCAGAGCTCCTCGAGGACTCTGGGAGCCAGTCAGGGCTGCGAGCCTCGCTCCAAGTGTGCAGAGATCACTAGGTGCACGGCCCACAGGAGAGCTACTGGCGAGGAAGCACCTGCCCCACGCAGGACGGCGCACAGATATAGTTTGCAAAGAGCTTCAGATGCAGGTTGTCACTGAGCAGTTTTGTCATGTGAGAAAAGTTCTAAATCAACTTACTTAATTCGTAGTATCTCCTTCATCCATATCTCATAAACAACATTTGCAATATTCAAAAAGTATACAAGATTCTCACCATGAATGGTTTCAAATGATTTTGCTATATCTAGGAATGAGCTCCATTCTCAGAGGCACAAATATTCTCAAAAATGAAGGCAACATAAGAATGGTAATTCAGCCTTTAAAGCCAATAGAATGTCATTTCTCCCCAGTAACCCTTGGCAACTCGCTGTCACTAACACCTGTGTCACACCGGGCCATGCCTCTCCCCTTGCTGCATCATGGTCAAGGGGAGCTGTGTGCAGTGTGCATGGCGTGTGGTGTGTATAGGGTGTGTGCGTGTGTGTGCAGTTTTCACCACTTAACTCACTGCAGCGTGACCAGGTGTTTACGTCTCTCGGAACACACTGTCAGAAGCTGAAAAGCAGGGGTCTAAGCCCTGCCTCCATACCTTCCTGAGTGTTGGTCACATCCCAATTCATGTGCTCTCATAAACAGTCATAATGAGAGGAGTGTCCTCCTCATTCCTGCCACTTTCTGAAACAGCTGTGGGCCCTTCTTTTCTGAGTTTCCTCAGTTGTGTTATTTATGGGTATCATGGTATTCTGAATCAATTCAAAATGTTTGCCTCTCATGGTCACTTTGACTTTGGGAAACACCCAGAGGTCACATGTGAGAGCCAGTGATGAGGTGGGACACACCATTATGGTTTATGAGCTGCCTTTCTGTCGGATGGCTCTCAGCAGCAGCGTCCACTGTATTTCTGATCACGCCTCATAATGACACTCAGGAAGAGGACTCCAGAGCTGCTTCAGAAAGCGGCAGGGCCAATGGGACAAGTACAGTCTCCTGGAAACCAGGGGAGGCACTTTGAGGGGGATTGATGACAATGTGTCTTTTACTGTAACAATTTTTAAAAACTTAAACATTCACTATATATTCTGATCATATAGTGTATATATCTACTACCCTCACTATACCAGGTTTCAGAGATAAAAGTACTGTGGCTTCTATCTCCACTAATTGTCCAGGGTAATACATTTTACACATGAGCTATTTTATACTGTTGCTGCTGTTGAGATAAGAATGAATTACGATCCTTTAGTCATTTTTGGTGTGATCTTTGCCTATCACTACAACCTCCTCCCAACCAATCACTATGATCTATTCAGCCTAATAATATCTTTGGTGGATTTACAAATACATATTTTTTCACAGATAACACAACCACTTTTTAGCTTAGTAACTGAAGAAGCAGAGAGCTCTTAAATTGTCAGCGTGTTTTCACTGAGCCTAAGTATTGAGCTCAAAATGGAAGCAAACGACACTGCACACAGGCACTGTGGGAAGAGGCGGGTACCAATGATATAAAGAACCCCATGTCAGGGAAAGAGCTTGGCAGACTCAGGAAAGCATGTGGGCTGCTCAGTCTCTAACGCGACCTCCTCTGTCTTCTTCAATATTTTCTTCTTACTGCCAAACTCGGCTGTTTTTCATAATCTAGATACGCATTCTATCATTATTTTTCAAAAACTGAAAACAATGTTATGATGAAATTGAGGGTAAAAAGAAAAGAAGCGAAAGGAATAGCTTCCAGTGACGTCAGAGGAGCCTTTGGGTATGAAAATAACACACAGACACAGCAGTGACGCTGAACTTTTCAAATCATGATTAAATGTGTTAGCATTTTGTAAGACCGACCTGTGTCTATATATATAAAGATTTCGTGTCAGATTAATGTTGTTATTGAGATCTCCACTTGGAAGTGTTCAGCTTTTGTAAAATTCAATGCTAAATTATTAAGTAAAATTGGGAAACATGGGCTGGATGTGCTATAATTAAGAAGCTGCAATGAAGGCAATTAAAATAAAATGGTATAAACCTTAGGCCATGGGGTCATGCTCTGACGAAGGTGCTCACTGAATGGAGGGATCCAGTGAACACACGAATGATTGAGGAGTCTCCATTTCTTATGCAAATTCCCCCGTCATACGTTCTTATTTGATCTCACAAATTATTCACTTTCTAACCAAGAAAAACAGCATGACCAGATCTTTCTGTGTGGTCTCAGGGTGTTTTTGGGCAGAGAGGACTCATTCACTACAGTTTTCTTTGCCCTTTCAGCTCTGAAGGAGTTTGCTCATAACTGAAAGAAAACCTTCTGTGTGATGCTCAGGGCCCAGTGATGCCTTCAATGCAGACATTTTTGAAAGATTCAACCACACTCTAAGCCTTTCCCCACCTTCAAGACTACACTTATGCTGGGATAAAGCGTAGTTTGATTATGGATGACTTGCTCTCTGCTGGGTCAGAATGCTCAGGAAATGAGCGACGGCGTGTGTGGGAGGCAGTGCACGTCCTTGCCGTGCAGGGCAGTGCCTGCGACCTGAGACACGCTCATGGGCCGAGACCCTTTCGGACTCCTTTGCCGTGGGCATAGGGATCCCCAGTGCTCTGACTGGCGGCTGTGCCACGCCAGCCTCCCGCCAGGAGAGGCTCTGGGGGAAACTGCTGCTCCCCTCAGACTGCAGGGAGGGTGCCTGGGACAGCACTTATGTGGGCGAGGGGGCAGGGGACATCACTGGCCAGGGCACCAGGCGAGGACATCTGGGCCTCTCTCACAGGGTGGCTGCGAAAGCCATGTTTGCATGAGCACCTGCAGTCTGTGTTCTGTCCAGGGAGGTGTTCAGGAGCCTGAGGCACAGGCAGAGAGAAGAGTGACAGGCTCGGAGGAAGAAAGGAAAGCTTGCCTGAGACCAGAGCAAGCTCCCGCTCCGTGTTCATTAGCTTCAGAGCTCTGGCCCCACGGCTGCGGTTAAGGGGCAGTGTCTGTCCACTTCGGAAAGGTGATTTCAGGGGGTCCGACTCAAACAAAGACATAACATCGCGGGATGCAAAGTGTGATTCCAGTGGCACTATTGTTCTTTAAAGCTCATGTTTGATCAAATAAGAGTCGGACACACAAAGGGGAAAGGGCTCACTGAGCTCCTGTATTTACCTATAATTTATGTAAAATGGCATTATTTAAAACTAATCGCAGTGCTTTTCAAAATAAATGTTTTGTGTTTTGGTGTATTTGCTCTTCTTCTTCATTTTCTCTCAGAACCCAATCTAGATTAGTGGTCTAGAAAATATTTAATATGGTAAAATATATGGCCATATTTTAAATTCATTTGGTCCTTGTAAAAATATAGAACTTCACGGGTGAGCTCTGTATTTTGATAAAAACACAGAATGTGACTTTGTTAGTGGTCAGGTTACTTAGTGATTACATTAAGTTCCTTCAGTTTTAAAATAGGATTATGTAAGACTGCATAAAAACTGTAGCTCCTGGCTCCGGACACTGCGGTGACCTCACTGCAGACAGAGGCGGCCAGCCGCTGTGTGGAAAGGAGTGAGCAGCCCAAGCGGCACATGGAGCCCCGTGCCAAGGCTGGAGGACAGACTGCCATGCTTGAAAATCACATTCTTTGTTTTCTCCTGTTACTCTTGGATCTCAAAAATTGCACATGTATGATAGTGTGAATCTATTTTACAAATTTGTAAATAAGGGCTGCTTTTCTTTCAACACTGCATGGTTGTTTCATGTACATAACACAAATATATATAGCACATAGTGTACATCCATCTATATTCACATGTATAGTGCCTAAAGTAAGATAAATAACGGTATCTTGCCTTACAAACTCTCCCGACTCTGGAGAGGATGGCCTTGTCAGAAGTGCTGCCTTCTTGAGATGATTCACGAAAGAAGAAATATATTTTGTCATCGTCTGGATTGTAGGTGTCTGGGATAGGGAAAGTTCCAATAAACTTTGCTCCTGTGAGAAAGGGAAAAACAATAGATTGAAACACCGAAGCAATCGGGCTGTGATGGTACCGATGTCTTTGGATGTAAACGATCAGAAGTAGATGAAGAGCTCGGTGCAGGAGACCGGAAGGGCAGAGACAGGAACACGAGGGCACTGACAAGCCCCTAGGGAATCTGGACCGTGGTGAGAAGGACTGCAGCACACTCACGACTGCCACGGCCTCACTGAGCCCGGCTGCTCAGCATTTATGACGAGGTACGCTGGGAACAGGCCGCTTAGGCCTCGCCACGTCACACAGACAGCATAGAGTGTGGCTCCCTGAACCAGCAAGGCCATGCTGTCCCTGGGAGACGTCATCTCTGGGCGACATCATCTCGTGGGGCCAGGGTTGGATACAGCGGATTGCATGGTGTGGGTGCCCAGTGTTGGCCAGAATGTCATGCAATTGCTCTACCTGAGTCTTTTCACATCTAGAATCATACCTTGTGGCCACAGGATCTGGCTATGTAGCCCAGGCTGGCCTTGTATTTGTGGTGATCCTCCTGCCTCAGCCTCCTTGTGGCCTTTTATAAAGAGCTTAGGGAAAGAAATACACATATATTCTAAAGTGTGACATATAAATGTTCTTTGCTGCATTTCATAAAGTTGCCCAAGGAGAAAATAAATGAAAACAAACAGGAGTGTGTGTCGTCTGCAATCTACTCTCTTTCTGGGTTTCTATCTTGTCTCTGCCACTTCCTGTAAATGTGAGCTCTGCAAACTGTTCATGCTCTCTAGGTCTCAGCTGCTGGACAGATACAGTGTGTTCCCCACGTCATGGCCCTGGCAGAATCCCTGAGACGGGAGCAGATGAGTTGGTCCACACCAGGCATCAGCATCTCAGGACTATCCGATGGGTGAGATTTATTGTTACGGTCATGACGGTGACACCTGTCCCTACCACTGTCTTCACCATAATCCCGGGGTGACAGAATCGAGCACATCCTGTGCCTCTGAGAACAACACGGTTATTAATGGAAAGGTAGCCATAATATATGAAAATAAAATAGACATTTTCAATGCAAAATCCCCTTGGCAAAGCATCAGTGACAAGTGTATTTGTCTGAGTCCTTGTTAAAGACCAACGTCTTGGTTTTATGTAGCTGTGGACTTGAACTTGGCTGGTTCGAGTCTCGAAGTGATCTCTCGGTTAAAGGGCCAGAGACAGAGATGGGGCTGCTGGGAATGAAGACAGCACCTCAGGGTGAAGGTGAGGGGCAGCAAGAGCCTCACAGTGCCAGGCCCAGAGTTTAGGAAGCAGACCCGGAAGACCAGAAGCTTCCGAAGGGAAAAGGCTGGTAGAAAGTGAAGCACTCAGCACTGCCCTGAGGCCCTGCGGGCTGTGACTGCGGGAGCCCGGGCTGCTGGAAGTCTCCCCAGGCACAGCGAGGACAGCTGTCCAGGAGCCCCGCAGACCAGCCCCCTGAGGGCCCTCAGACGGGTGGTCCAGGCCTCTCGCTCACCAGGCCCCAGAGGAAGGGAGAGGAGCAAAGTGTACAGGAGCCTTCTCTTCATTCTTTCCTGCTCCACTGCTTTCCAGGGTAAAATTGTGATGCACTCTGAACACCCCACATCCCAGCCGTGGATGGAGGTAGAAGACTACATCAAAAGCGCAGGCCTGTGATCCCAGCGCTTAGGAGCTGAGGCAGGAGGATCTCTGCAAGTTCGAAGGTGGCCTGGGCTGCATAGCAGGAGCTTGTCTCAGAAAACGAGGCCGCCGTTCCTCCTGTGGGAAGAGGGTGCAGCTGCCTCCTCAGCCATGGCCAAACTGCAGACGTGTGGACGCACTGGGAAAGTAGGGGACACAGAGGAAGCTACACTCCCGAGCAAGCAGAAGACAGAGAGAACGAAGTCATGCAGAAATTATAGAACCGTGATGGGTTTCCCTGATCTTGACAGACATGTGACCCAAGGTGGGCGTTAACACACGCAGGGTCATGGCTGTACCTCAGTGCGAGGCCGGCAGCAGTCACACAGCGTCCCGGGGACCCACATGGTGACTGCCACCGCTTGTCACTTCAGAAATGACACAGTGGTGTGATACTTGTAAGGTGGCTCCATATTTACCATGGGAGGGAGGGAGCCTTCCCTCTCCATGGTGTGAACGCAAAGGAGGGGCACCCCGGAAGCGCAGGACCTCGAGCTGATCCCACCGCACCTGACTGTACCTGGCTGCCCTGGGGCTCCCCCGGAAACGGGGCCCTCAGCAGAGTGTCACTCAAGGTCTAAAGGCTGCAGGAGAACCCCTTCCACCAGAAGAACTACCACCAGCTGACCCAGGAGCTTCGGGAAGCAGGAAGGCCTCGCTGTGACAGCGGCAGGGGCGTGGACAGTCTTCCCAGAGCCGCTTCCTTGAACTCCCAACTAACCCGGAACATCCAGCACACATGGCCTCCTGCTTCTCCAGTCACCACCCATTTTACTGAGCTGTTTCTCTGGGACGCTGGCTCTTTTACAAGTCTCTGGGAAAGCATGCTGCACATGGGGTAGCCAAATGTTTATTACATGAAGAAATCTAACTATGGAAAAAAGAGGATCACAGACTATTCTGTGACTTAAATTATAAGCATACTTATAAGTTAAAAATAAATACATGCTTCGAGGATACAGAGTATCTTTTTTGCAGATGACACTGGGTCTTGTCTCAGATCTCTGATCTGAGTAAACATTTTATGATAGAAACTCTTTCCTGACTGGCTGCCAGGATTGGGTAAAAATAGTTAGCATTTAATTAGTGCTTAGTTGTTGAGTCAGACAAACTAAAACTGTTCCAGTAGAGACCTGGGCTTCATTACGGCACAGTGTTCCGGTTTGGCAGCTGAAACTCAGCCAAGAGCGGTGGAGTCTGTGGTCACGCACGGCACAGATGCACTCACAGCCTGACACCCCGGGCCTCTGCCCGAGGGATGGTGCTTCCTCCTACAGCTCATGGGGTGCACACCCCTCTCCTCACTGCTGAGTTCCTCCTCAGAACTTCAGTTTCCTATTGCTTTAAAGAGAACTCACATCTTTATGTGGGAGAATCTACACACAACAGATCACCCCGACAGAAACTTCAAGTGCAAACTACCTCCATATGTTAAAAATAAAATTTGAAACAAAAGCCCTCATCTACCCAGAAAGAAAACAAAAACATATGCAAGTGAGACGTCATTGTTTGTTTTAATTTTCCAGGCAGTCCCACTCCTTAGTTTTACCCTACAATTCTAACAAAATGCCACTGTGTCCAGCAATCACCCTGACGCAGGTCACTATTCCCATCCCTTCACGCTGCCTAAGACAAGCTGGTGAAGAAGATCAGGAAGCCTTCCTCACTGGAGGCAGAGCTTTGAAGTGTTTAACCTTCTCAAGAGGGGCTAGAACCACAGGGCAGGGAGGGTCTGGACTGAATGAGCAGCACTGGGGCCCCCGAGTGGCTCCGTGGGCTGAGGAGGGCAGGGGTGGGCGATGCCCAGCGGTCCAGGAGGGACACAGAATCCAGAGCGGCCTGCTCGCACAGGGGGACTCAGGGTTCCCGGCGCCCCCAGAGGCCCAGGACTCAAATGCACTTCGAGGAGATTCCTTAGCATCACATTAAAGAAGCGTGATTCTTTAGAACCTACATCCTCAGTTAATGTGCTCAATGGTGTCTTTAGTTCACTTCATCTCAGTACATTTATAAGGGTTTAGTTGATCACAAGCAAATAATACCTAGGAATTAAAACTGAAAATGAAAGGATGAAAGCAAACTCTAAGGAGAGTACTTTACATATCTGACCAGAACTAGATGACACACTGCTCTAGTAGCACCTAAGAGGAAGGAATCCAGAGTCAGACATTAACATGCACACGCCCTGCACTTTTCTCACCCGGCAGCGGCCCATGGAACTGAAGGGCAGCTTCCACGTCTGCACGCTGCGTGGACAGTGGAGAGAGCTCTCCAGTGGGCTGTAGGCCTGGCTGCCGCACTGTGCCTATCAGGAGAGAGCACTTTAACTTCCTCCTACAGGAGGAAGCTCCTCACCAAGGGAAGTGCTCCCGACCCAGGAGCCCTTGGTGACATCCCCAGCCTACCTGGCCAGGGAGAGCCTGAAGTGTGGCCAGTGTGGAAGAGGAGCCCAGCTGCGAGAGTGTTCATCTTAATTAACCTAAGGGAGAAGCCACACAGGCCTGGTGTTGCCAGACTGGACAGGCAGCCATGGAGCAAGCACGCCCATCTATGAGCTCACAGTGGCGGGTCCACACCAAAGCAGAAACTCTGCTGTTCCCGCAGCTGCCGCCCAGAAGAACCCCCTCCGGGCGGGCTCTGAGGTCCTGAGCTCCCTCCGGGCTGCTCTCCTCTCGGAAGCAGGGGACGCTAAGGGCAGGCCAGGGCTGGAACCCAGGAGACTGGACGTCCCTGGCTCAGGGTCCACCACGTGGTGTAAAAGGAGATGGCATCCAGGACGCCGTCCACCCAAGATCAGTGCAATCCCTCTGCACTGTCCTCTCCTCTCCTCTCGGTCCAGAGCTAGTGGGGACCTGGGGCCTGAGCCGACTGTCCCTGGAAAGAGTCACTTCTCATTCTCACACAGGAGCAGCTCAGCCCCGGGCTCCCCTCCTTACAGGGCCTCTGACCCCATCTCTGGCCTCCTCCTGCACTCTTCCCCAGACTGCCAGCCTCCTCCTCCCCACACTGGCTGTTTCTCCCTGGTTGAACTTGGGCACCTTGCTTTCTCTGCCTCCTGGCCCTCAGCGGCCAGGGCTACTGCCCCTGTGGTGTGGCCCAATCTCCAGAGATGTGGGTCTGTGCAAATGCAGGTTCCGAGCAGGGCCATGCCATAGAGAGCAGACGGCCCTGGACTGCATCGTGCACTGGGGGACCCAGTGTCCAGAGCGGGATGGACACGCCCAGGTCCTGTATGTTCAGGCATGGTGGCTGTGTGAGCTCTCCTGCAGCCTCGCAAGCGTGGTGAGCAAATAGCAATCCTCCCAAGGCTGTGGCAGTACCCAAGCAACATTTCACAGGGCCGTGGAGGGCCCAGGGTGGAGATTACATAAAGGAGGTCTGGGGGAGCAGAGTTGGGAACGGGGCGGGCAGTGAGCGGGAGGAGGTAGAGGGCTCTGGGCGAAGGTGGCTGGAAGGAGCAAGGGCAGTGGATGTTCAGAAGGAAGCGGAGGCCTGGCTGGAGGCTGGAGATGAGATAAAGGATACGGAAGGAGGGACTGGGAGCTAAGCCCAAGGTAACTGGGTGGGGGGTCAAGAAAGCAGCATGTCCGGAAGCTGGCACAGAAGGGCAGGTCAGAATGGAAAAAAGATTTTAAAAGTTTAGACTCAGGGGTTTTAGGTTTCAGATCAAATTAAACCAAAGGGTCACTAAAGAACTCGTCAAATCCCACAGCTACACAATCAAAACTAAGATGTTGATATCTTTAGTCCTGTGCAGAACGTTCGCATCCCTGACTTACAAATAAATACATGTATTCAGGCACAGGGGGACTGGGATTAAAGACTCTACACTGGCGTGGGAAGCCCCGCAAGGACAGCTGAGCTCTCGGAACCCCCACATAAGCAGGGAGAAGGTGGGGACCTTACAGAGCCCCGAGCAACATCAGGCCTGCTACCAGCGCAGCTCCTCGGGTCTCCTGACTAACACTCCCGACCTGGCCCGGCTGACACTGCTCCTGCACTGGAGTCCGTGCTGGTATCAGCGTGAAGGTCAGAGTCCAAGAGCCCAGGAGGCTCTGACCCAGTCACATACCTGAGCCGTCGGGCTGTGCACACAGGAACTCGGGTGCCAATGAGATGGCTTTGCTCTTGGACTAAGCTAGGGATTCCAGAATAAATGGTGACGAAAAAACCTGGAGCTGTCCTGGGCCAAGCAAGCTCCTTGACCGCCCTGGCAGCTCTGAGAGAGCTCAGCTCTCTGCCGGAAGGGCCCCGAGCGAGTGTGTGTTCCTGTAGATGCTGGCCATTTGCCTGAAGACTTCTGTGACTCTTATCCCTTCCTCCTCCATGTCCTGTTTTCTGGGCTGCTGGTCCCGAACTCTGTCTGACGCCCTCAGAGCCCTCTGTTGGCCAACAGTGTGGTCTGTCTCGAGTGCTTGAGGCAGCATGGCCTCCTGGGCACCCATGGCCACAGCCTTTCTCTGTCCCTTCCTCATTGCCAGCTGACACACCAGGGGCTCCTCTCTGTCCTGTTCTCCTTACACTTCGTGCCCTGGTCACTTTACCTTTAAGAAAGCAAAGGTCGGGCTGGGGATGCAGCTCAGAGGCACAGCTCCTGCCTGGCAGGCGTGAGGTCCTGAGTTTGAGAGCTAAGGTCTGCCTCCAGAGTTAAGACTGAGCCCTGGTGGATCCAGACAGAGACAGCTCCTCGCCCCCCATCCCTACATTCAGCCCTCCTGTCTCTCTCTCTCTGGCCAGGGCAGGAGGTGCTCAGCACGAAGTGAGCAGGAGGGGAGTGTAAAATGGTCCAAGGCTTCCCACTTTGTGTTCTATTAGCACAACAATAAGAACAGCACCCCGGCAAAGAAGGCAAAGAATTGTCTCATTCATGTTTGTAAATTAATTGTTTTGGCAGTGCTGCAGACTTCTTTATGGACATGTCAGCATTAAGGAAAATACTCTTCAATAATCTTGAATACGCCTGCCTCTCAAGCGCAAGGTCCCGAGTTCGATCCCCAGTACCAAAATAAAAAAATCTTGAATAATCTCTTTAAAGAATAGCGACTTGATGATATTTGCATTCCCAAATTGAGAGACACACCCTTCTACTTCATGTGAAGTCATGGAACATCTCATTATCTAAACATTATCTACATAGGCACCAACTCCCCCCGTGATGAATGTAATCATCATGTATGGAAGACATGTACTAATAAAAATCCAGGAAAATATAAAGACCCAGAGATCTAATAAGCCTTCTAGAGGTGAACCCTGTGGAGTCACTCTCAAACCAAGAAGTTTCACGAAAGTTAACTTTGGGTCCATTTATTTTGTCAGAGTAGAGGCTCACATTGTTATGTAAACAAATGGACCTGGAGGTTTTAATTAAAGAAATGTCTCAGAAAGTGTTTCTCTTTGTAAGGGTGTGAGGTGGAAAGGAAGCCTTGCATTCATTTCTGAATCAATTAAATACATTTAAATCTGTGTTTCTTTGAAACCCAAAATACAATATGACCCCTAAATAAAATAGTAGTTAGGAACATCTGTGTCAGTAACAATATGCTTAGAATTTTGGAGGGATATGTCCTCATCCAACCATACATTTTACCAAAAAAAGTTATCATCGCACATATGTAATATCAAAAAATAATGAGGATAAATGCTAATTACTGGACAGGGTCAGCTCTGCTTTGATCAGTATGTTGTATACATTAAAATTTCACACTGTACCCCCAAATGTGTACAATTGTCATATGCCAATTAAAATTAAAAGGAGCCATATTATATATCAGTCAAAAATAAAAATATATTCAAGGAAGGAGAGAGCATTACATTATTACCCGTTCCCGTTGAGCTCAAGGCAGTATTTGGCTGTGTCATTAAAACTCAGCCCGGAGGGGACAGATGGCAACCGGGAATCTGGGCTCGGAAACTAGCAAGGTGGACCCTGACCAGATTAGCGAACTTCTCTCAACTACAGACTGCCCGTCTTTATAAACTGTGAAATAACCACACACCTCACGTGTCACGTAAACGTTAAAGACATCTATTAGGTGCCTGGGACTCAGCAGGAGTTCAGAAATATCAGGGATCACCGCGCACAAAAGCTTCTAGGCTGTCTAACTTGATGCGGAATTGCTTCAGATGTGTCTTATAAGGCTGTGCTACACACACACACACACACACACACACACACACCCCAGCGCAGCTGAGTGAATAGCAGTGCGCTTCTCCTCTACCTCTGCCGGAAAGTGACGTCCAAACTAGCGAAAGGGAGAATGGCACTCACCGTTGAGCCAGTAGTGCTCTGAAATGTCGGTCCGGATGTAGTGGTCCTGCGTGGGTCCCAGGGACCGCGTGAACGCAGGGTCTTTGCCCAGGAAGTCGGACGCCGTTCCCGAGTAGAGGTGCTCACCTGCGGGAGGACACGGGCTCAAGAGCGCAGCCGACACCGCTTCCATGCGCGAATCGACGCTGGGCGCCAGAATACGCTGTTCCATAAATTTCACTTTCAGATTTTGAAAAATACGCTTAGTTAAGAAAGGCAATTAACTGTGGCGAGCTGGTGCTAGATGCTGGAATATAAAAAGGCCAGGCTCTCAGGCAGGCGTGACCGCACACGCATCGGCTTCTCTCGGAATGAGCTCTTCCTCTCTCTGTCCTCCCCACAAACGATCAGAGAAATATCGCGAGTGGAAGTTCCCCTGGGCACCACAGAAATGTCAGACATGAAGTGGTGGAATGAGGAAGGGGTTGCCTGAGGAATGCTCGCTTAGCCCACACAGCCTTAGCCTGACTTGTCTTCCCCAAATGGGCCAGGAGGGAGCCTGCATCCGGAAGTCCTTCCTGGGACTGGGCGCTGTGCTCCGCGTGGCTGGTCCACAGCCGGCAGACAAAGCTGCTCCCTCCGTCAGTTATGCGCAGTGCACGTCTGGGTGCACAGGGAGAGTGGGGAGAGGAAGAGGAGAGACAGGAGGGAGGCAGGAAGGGAGAGAGGACCAGGCTGGGGCAGAGGGTGCACCCCAGGGCTGGCAGAGCCCGGGAGCAGAGCAGCGGGGACAGGAGAAACGTCCTGTTGAGGCTGAGACTTGCAGTCCACTACTTTGAGTTGCACTTAGTAAGAAAGGAAAAATAGCTGATCTCTCCAGAACATTTGCTTTCTTTAATGTTTGGACGTGAAAATAAAAATATTCTTCTATCATTAAAATTTAAATTTGTCTTCCATGAGAACTGATTGTTTGAGTCCTCTGATGATGTCGCTCTCGATCAGCTTTCACTGAACTCTCAGGAGCAATTCAATCTGAAAGTGACAGTCGGCAACTTCTAAAGGAAATACACCAGGTGGGAGACAGCAGCTGAGGAAAGTGGGTGTGGATACAGCGCTGCTTCCATCCCCTCAAGTGCTTCTCTAAAGCACTTTGGGTAAATACCAGTATTTTATGGGGAAGTAAAATTTTAAAATAGAACAACATCGCAAGATCATCACTTCAAAGCATCCTCAGGAAGTTTGGAAAGAATATAAAGAAGCAAACCATCATTTTGAAATATACAAAATCCCAAATATTCAAGTATGTCATCAGAAAAAAAAAGGTATGTTCCAAACTAAAATTTGTATCTACTACTCAACTTTTAAAACTGCCTTCTTTGTCCCTAAAATGACTTTGGGATTCCTCAGCGTGTCCCTGAGGCCCTCAACCTATTGTCTCTTTATGAAGAACGTGTCAACGCCACTTGACAGATGGGACTCACAGATCCTATTTGGTTTACTGAGAAAGAGAGAACATGAGCTGTATAATTTTCAAAACACACACGGGCTTTCACTTCAAAGCAGATTACTGCTCTGGCTGAGTGAACATCACAATGGCGCAGCAGTTCACTGTGAGCGCCTATTCAAACATCTGATAGACAAGTTACTAAAGGACAGTGAAGTCAGGAGCCAGAGACAAAAGGGTCCTTGGAGGCCTGCGGCCCAGGGCTCTGCCCACATTCCTGGAGACGCTCAGACCACACAGTGCCTCACCTCCTCCACTCTGCACGCTTCTCTTACTGGAATTTAAGGCATGCACAAGGGACTTCTTTTGAAAGAGAGAACAGAAGCAACATGGGAATAGAGCTTTGGCAATGGGAACAAGAGCCAGAGGAAGAGGGAGGGACAGGAGGGTAGAGGATCGAAAGGGAACTGAGATGGAGGTGTCCAGGTCCCAACTCCCCATGACGAATGGAAAGGACGTAAAGGTACTGCAAACACGTAGTAATGGAAAACAAATACAGTTTTGAAACAGATGTGTTTCAAGTGTGAGGAGACTGCACGTGCCAGCAGAAGCTTCACATACCCCTGGTACGGCAGTGAGGTTGGGGGAGACAGACCACAGCACACCTGTGCTCTCCGGCCTCCTTCACCTTGTTTACTATTTACTTATAGAATCGCCATATTTAACATTCACAGTGAGCCAAATATAAGGACACCCCGCTACGCTAGCTATCTAAGTGTACTATTATAAGATGAGTAATTTGCATGAAAAAGAATCCCAGCAGGACTCAGGCAGCAGGGCTGCAGACAGGAAGCTGGGCTGGGCTCACTGAGGAGGGCTCCATACACAGAGCCCTGGGTGATGGTCCTGGCACCATGGGGCTGTGACAGAGTCCCCCAAAGGTATCTCTGGCTCCACAGGAAACTGGACGCACACCTTCCCAGAGTCAGCTAACAGCAGACGGTTCGTCCTCGGTCTTACCTGTCATCACAGACGCAAAAGCCTGCTGAGGGTCAAAGGGGCACTTCAGCCTACCCGACTCCAGGTTATGGGTGTCCAGTTTGAACGCTACTTCCTGTCAGGAAAACAGGAACACAGGGAGATGGTCAGGATTATCACCATCTGCAAGAACACGGACGACAGAGACTGAACCGCTCAGGGGATTCAGGGGAACCTAACTGAGCTCGTGGCACGAGCTTAGGCCTCAGCTCAGCTCTTCCACTGCCCTGGGTCTGGGTAATGGGCCAGGCCTGTCATCATGTCCAAGTTCCACCACGCACACTCGTCTTCCAAGCTGAGGACCTGAGTTACTGAGCCCAACAGAACCAACTCCCTCTGCTAAGGAATACATTTATTATAAAATTTATGCTTTCAGGAAAATGATTATGATTTGTATAACTAAACATTTGCAACTACACCAGACCACTTCAACCCCAAGGCTTTGTTTTTATCATAACAACATGAAAGTGCTCTAAGTCAGGCAGTTAATCCCCAGAGCTGTGGATATATGTGGGCAATAAAAGCATTCTTTTGTAGCAGTTTCACTATAATGAAAATACTGTACACATGAAAGCCGCATAGTTATTTTGGCTGAAACATCTATTTTTATAATAGTGGCCACAGACAGAATGACATTGGCAGACTTTTAATATTAAAATTAACATCTTCAGTTGAACTTTCCAAGAAAAATACAAATGTATAATGAATGCAGCCCCAGGAGCCCAAGTGTTTTGTAACAACGATGACACCACCATCCAGCCAAGAGGCAGCTGGCTTACCATGCACGTTCAGAGAAAGTCAGCATTTCGGAATTCTCTCTAGATGGTCAAGTAGCTGCACTGTCCTAACAGCACACACATCTCACGAGAAAGAACCATTCCATGCTGCTTACACAGGAAGCAGGCAAGGAGCCCAAGTTGCAGAGGTCTGTTACATCGTGGTGTCACCTAAGATCTTTCTCCACTCCTATCGCCTCTCTAAAAAGCAGCGAGCAATTTAAATGGCTGGGTTAAGGAGTGGTAGTCCTTAGTTTCAAATGCACACTGTAGCACTAGGAATAATGTCAGCCGGTTGGGTGCTGGAAGGCACTACCTCAGATGCAGTGACTAGGCACCTCATCTCTGCATGCTCACCTGAGCCTCCCGATGTAGCTGTCTTGAGAATCCCAGCCCTGCACATGTGACCTTGGGAAGAGAAAGGCTCCATACCTGGATCAGTGCTAGTAATCGGGGCTAGTGACCCACGCTGGGAAAGGCAAATTGGGAGGCTAAGCTCAGGCTGTCCCCAATTTAATGCTCTTAGCTAATTTGGTCTCAGAATTTCAAACGCATAGATTTAAAAATCAACTTAGAGACTCCATGTGACCATGTGACAGGATTGAATCCAGTTCCTTGGTTTGAACAGCTCAGGAAAGTGATGCAGAGCCTCAGGATGGGCAGGGGGGAGAGAGAGAGAGCAGTGGTTGGAACAGCTTTCCAATGCAGCCAGGAAGAGAGGTGCTGAGAAAACATCTGCAGACGGTGGATCCGAAGTATATTTGTGTGTCGCTAAGGGCACATTATTTTCCACGGGTCAAACAGAGCCGTGGACTGTAAGGTCTACCAGGGGACGCTACAGAGTGAAAAGTGAATTGCATCTGGCACCTCAGAAAGTATACTGCACAGCGAGACAGTGTCTGCGAGGGTGTCACAGGGCACGCAAGGAGAGGCCTCAGACGGACTCATCCACTGTGCACTTTTGTTTCTAACTTCTCAGGAGAAGCCCATGATCTTGGTGTCTGCGGGCCATGGGCACACAGTCCTCCCCAGGAAGGGCAGAGCAGGTGACCTGCTTCCCGAGCAGCCATGAGCGCCAGCAGACGTGCAGTCCAGCAGGTGGAGTCCCGCTGATCATGCCTGGAGACCTGTTTCATAAGATTGGCCCCTCGAAATTCCCCGGCCTGATTAATTATGCAAAAAGCACCAGACTGAGCTGCACAAGCTTAAGTTAGCAGAGAAGTGCAGAGGTCAGTAGGCGAGAAGGCAGTAAGGAGAACTTAATCATCCAAACGAGGCCGAGTTACTGTCAGACCATCCCCACCTAAACTCGGGGTGTGCGGCTCCAGAGCGGGGCACAGGGGAAAGAGCCTCCTGCCAGTGCGGCCACTGAACACCACAGGCACTGCGGTGGTGAGGCGCATCAGTATTACTCTGCCTGTTCCCGTGCCGTGTGCGTGTGCGTGTGCGTGTATGATGTTGCAATTCATGCCACCTCACCTGCCTGTGTTTCTGCTGCCTAACAATGACTGGATGTTACTGTCTGGAATGCAGCAAGCCTTACACTGAAGCACATGCAATCATAAACACAGCTCTTGAACACTGTTGCTATCATTTTCATCATTTTACTGAACAATCACAATTCTGAGAAAGCCTGTGGAGTGTTCATCAGGTCATGCAGCTGGTGAGTGACTGCAGTCCTGTTTCAAACTCCATCCAGGTTCCAGTTATTGATGACTGCCTGGATTTTATTCTTGAATTCCAGACCCGGTGGCCCTTGGGGTGACCTGAGCATGACCCTCCAGGCACGTGCACAGGCGCAGTCCTGACCCATCCTTCCCCAGAAATGGTCCTCGCCCCTCCTCAGCCACCACAGAGCCTCTGCTCCTCGCCTGCTCTGCCTTCACCTCAGCTCCCTCCTCTTCCTCCCCTGGGCCAGAAGTCCTGGGAGTGCCTGGCACCAGCCCCCTGCATGCAGCAGCCTTTCCTACTGAAAACAGAAAGCCTTCCAGACTCCTCTAAAGGACTAGGACTTCTGGGAACCAGGGGTGATTTTAAAGGTTCCCATCTTGCAGCAGATTTGCTGCTCAGTTACCTGTGCTCCCGGCAGCTGAAACACAGCCAGCTCAGAATCAATTCTCTTATTTATGAAGCTTGTAAATTTGACTGCCCTGGGCTTCTTGACAGTCCCAAGCCAAGCAATCAGCGCCATCCAAATTCCCTTTCAGCACTTAGGGAGTTAGAGGACACTGTTTGCTCCCCTGGCAGGTTGTGAGTTTGACCTTTAGCCTGGGCTCTGGGCTATCTTGCATACCTGCACCCTGTGCTGGGAGCTACTGGTGTGTATCACCCTCGGGGAGAACATTACCCCAGCACGGAAGAATGATGGATTCAGCTGCCAAGTCTCCCGTGGTTCAGAGATTTAACTATCAGGGCTGCTTGACTTTCAAAGGTTTCAGTCTGGGTTGGTTGGGCAGTTTGGTTAGGGAGGAAGATTTATGTAGCCCCAGTTGTGGGCGTGGTCTTTGCAGGAATCAGTCAAATCCCTGTCATGACTTCAGCTGCAATCAACTATGCTACAAGGTGTGGTTGGTCACAAGAAGCACAGGTCTATGTGCACAGGGACCGGGGACCAGGCCCCCACACAGGGATGGTTCGGGGCTTGGATCGAATTCGGGTGCTCTTGCACCAGAAGCAGCCCCTGCTCCACGCCAGGGCTGGGCCACTTATTAGTCTGGTGAGCTTGGAAATGCAATGTTTTCCCACTGAGTCTTGAAGTCTGCTAGCCTGTATATCAGGGATTATAGCAGAACTGACTTTGTTAATAGTTTGTGAAATTTAAGGATCGAATCCAGGTAATGTGCAGTAGAGTCCACAACTCAGACAGCAAAGTGTTCATCATCAGCTAGATCTCAGCAGTGCCACTGCCTCTCTCCAGATGCTCAGTGATGTCTGGAATGGACTCATCTTCATTATCACATCCTTATTTCCTTACGTGAATTTGCCCCAGCTGAAACGGAGTTCAGTGTGACAGTGACTATCTGCATCCAGGAAAATCATTAGCATGCCCTTCCTTAATGCCAACTGCCATAAACACACTGACCAGGCCAATTTTGAAGCAGAATGGAAAAATAACGTCCTTTATGATATAGTTCCATTGCAAAATCTAATGGAAATGGATGTTTACCAATAGCAGTGTAACCTCACATATTTAGTTATAAAGGAAACTCAAGGGAAGATAAAGATATACACAGAACCCATAGAAAACAAGCATTTTTAACATTTTATACTATTAATTTTGATTGGCTCAATAAAAACAACTTTTAATAGGAAGGATTTATTAGGTGGGTAAAATGTGTACTGAAACTGATAATCCATAAAATGGTTACGAACATGAATCTTTATACAGTTCATAAACTCTGTTTCAATTCTTATATTCAACTGCCTGTTTTCTGTTACAGACATTAAGTAACAAAGCATCGCGATAAACTGTTTCTCCAGTAGCTCATTGTGTTACCTCCTTAGAGACTCCAAGGTCAATGTAGCCACACACTGGGTGAAAAGCTCCCGTTCCACACACATAAGTGTGAGTTTTGTTGTAGGGTTGAAGCACTCTGATGAAATTCGCACATTCTGTCTATGGAGCATAAAAATTCAAAGCATTAGCACATGATTCAGGTTCTGGAGGATTAGCATTCATACCATCAGTTGTTCAAGTAGATAAATCTCAAAACAGAAAAAATGAAAGAGTTATGAGAAAGGTTTAGGCACCCGAATTAACAACAAAAAAAGGCAAGACACATGCAGGAACTGTGGCCTGAAAGAGGACTCTGCAGCTTCGTGAGGTCACACAGCATTTGAACCAGTGAGGGTGTTGGGTGCGGGCTGCAGCACCTGCAGGGAGGGTGAGTGGCCGGGCTTCTTCCCCTCAGGATGCCAAGAGGACAATGCCCGCTGTGCTGATGTCACTAAGCTCCCCACAGGGCTGCCCCGGGCCCAGAGCGCTGGGCACAGCCTATGTCCATGCACGTGAGGTGCATTCTCACTGGGGGGCTCGCCCACCTCAGCCTTCCACTGATCTTCAGATGCTATGGAACCTTGAAGGAAAAATAGTTTCCTGCTGATGACAAGAGCAGCTTCTGGTTTTCTCGAGGAAATTCTCCTACACCCAGTGGCATCCGGAAAGGCTCTTAGGCATCTCCTTCCCAAGCCCCGCTCTGCACAGTGGCTGTCTTTGGAATTAGCTCCTTCACTCCCTGCACAGCCTCAGGAGGGAGCAGCTGCCCTCCAGGGCAGCATCCTCTGCACTGTGTGTTATTTCCCATTCGCCTCTGGAAGTATCTGCCTGCCTGGGGAAGCACTTTCTCAAGGATGGCTTCATGATTCCAGGCCCACAGACGCCTCAGAAAGTACTGGGCTGTGGCACGCCTGTATCCTAGGGGCTGCTCCACACGGGAGGCTGGTGTCCCTCAGGAGTGCCGCCCACTGAGGCCCTGACATCCCAGCGGAATCCCTGCCCCTGCCCCGAACCCGGCAGACACAGCGCTGGCCCGGCCAGGAGGGCTCACGGTAGAGAGGAAGGACCGATGACAGGACTCATGACAGACGGCTTTGAAACAGTGACCCAGCTGCAGCGCTGTTCTGAGCGTTACCCAGATTGACAACCACACAACACAACACTGAACGACGAACCCTGTCCTAACCTATGAAATACCCACATCCGGGGGCCACTCTGCCTGGAAGGTGAATGGACAGCTGTTGAAACTCTGCTAGCTCCAGGCTCCCTGTTTGACCTTCACCCTGCTGCCCTGCACTTTCACATCTCAAGAATTTATAGCTCTACTCAGGGAAATGTGAACCTATCACAGAAGAATGTGCACTGCGGGCTGAGTCTTGTTGCTCCCTAATAATAATAATAATAATGAAGTCACCGTTTCAGACCACGTGAAGTGCCAGTGTTGACCCCTCGGGTACCACACAGGCGAGGACCCCTGCTCTCCGGCAGGAGACAGTGTTAGCTGGCAGGGTCCGGCCTACGGCTGTGCACCGTAAAGGGCCACAGTGCAGGGCCCAGGGCTGCATGCTGCAAACATCACACTGTAGGGGCCTGCAGTTTGTACTGTGGATGTATTCCTGCCTTCGTATGTCTGATGCCTTTCCATGTGCTTACTATATGTAGACTCTTAAAGAAGATTATTTAAAGACAGCTTCCTGCTAACTCGTCTAGCTCATCAAAGCCACGGTGGTGAGCGGCTGTCTCTCGCGCTGGGCGTCTGCTGTCAGGGACTTGTCTTTATCTGCACACAGGCAGGGAGCTCGCTCACGCTCCTGATGCGATGTTGCCTGTTAGGGAATCGCCCTGGAAACAGCCAGGACGCAGCAATCTGAGGGAAGAGAGGCCGCCCACGGACCCTGCGGCGGCCGGGGCAGCTGCGAGGAACAGGGGCCACAGAGCGTGACCTCTGCCTGCGCAGCTCGGGAGGCCGCTGCTGTCTTTCCTCGGGGAGGGGAGGGGAGACGTCCGCGAGGGTGCCCGCACAGCCGGAGACTGCTGGGAGGGTGAGGCGGGGCCACCGCGAGCCCCCTAGTTTTATTTTTAAAATTTAATTTAATTTAATTTGTTTGGTACCAGGGATCAAACTCGGGACCTTGGGCTGGCAAGGCGGGCGGCGGAAACACTGAGCTAAATCCCCGGCCCGAGCCGCTCCAGTTTTTAATAGTCACAGAACTGACAGGACCATCGCGCAAGGTTCTGAAAGAAACATTTGTATCAAGAAACCGCCACAATGCACATCGTGAAGTCAGAAAGATGGGGCCCAGAGGCGATACTGCGTGAGGCTGGCCAGGAATCTGTATACACATGGGAGGTATTTCAGGGCCATAAAACAAAAAGCCCTGCATCACACCAAAGCATATCTTGTTTTGTTTGGTTTGGTTTAGTTTGGTCCAGGCTGGCCTTAAACTCACTGTGCAGCCCAGGAGGACCTTGAACTTACAGCGATCCTCCTGCCTCGCCCTCCCAAGTGCTGGGATTGCAGGAGTGCACCACCACGCCCGGCTGCATGTCACACTGTGTGATTTCTCCAGAAGTACGTGTCATAAGGAGGGGGAGGAGGGTTGAAGGGAGGGGAGGTGAATGGGAAAAAAGAAGCAAGATGCACACTTACAGGAACAAATTCCCTCTGATGAATGTAATCATTATGCATATCTAAAAAAAATGCAGCCAGCCCTAGAGAGTAACCTACCATGCCAGCTCCCTGACCGAGGCTTGGCCTAGGAAACCCTGCCTGCCCCCACACTGGGCTGGCACGGGGTGGAACACAGTTTGCGGAGCCTTCAGTTATCTGGCACAGGAAACCAAACAGAAAAGAGAACCGCTCCCCCGGGCAGGGAACCTGTGAGCAGGGTGGGAAGATGAGGGCCTCCCACTTTTCGTGCTGCGCAGCAAGGGTTCCAAAAACGGCCTGCTGCAGGGACATCACAGTGGCTCTCCTTTTAATTCAGTATTTCATTATTCTAAATCCCAAAAATGAGGTGCTGCCTGACCTGTATACACGAGGTTTCCAAGTTTGTCCTAAACAGCCTGGTTAATGATTAACCTGATTTATTTCACTTAGTGACTTGCCTACCCTTTACTGGTACACAGCCCTCCCAGCAGCCTTTTCAACTTGCCCTTAAAGCTGGCTAATTTCTCAGCTGTTTCCCACAATGGCAATTATTGCATGGAACTAAACAATGTAGTGAGTAAGATACTGGATTTGGAAAAATGTTGGATTTTTTCTTTTTTCACTATTCTTCCTAGAGGCAGAGAAAGAGGCTACCAAAATGAAGCCACCAGCTTCTTAGTTCTCTTAAGTGACATTAGATTTTTGGCATTTCATCACATATGCATCCATATATGAATAGTTAAATAAAGCTGAATTCATACTTGGAGAGAAAATATATTCTAGTCTACTCACGGACTTTCAGAATTTTAGTTTCTGCCCAGGTCCTTGGAAAGATACCAGCCAAGTACTTGTAGATCACCAGATTTACAGAGACCATTCAATAGCCTTAGATGTAATTCTGACAACTGAAATACAATGACTAATTTAAACTTATTAGGCTAAATATAAGAAAGCAGCCATTTAGAAATCTGATATTCTTTTGTTCTCTTTGGTGGCAGTGGGGTTGGAACCCGGGTCTCAGTCCTGCTAGGTGAGTGCCACCACAGGACCACACCCCAGCCCCCTGAGTTGTTTTTATTTTTGGTCTGGTTTACAAAATATTGTAATAATCATCAAACCTTTTTTGATCACTGACCAGATGCAGTTCTCAGACAGAATCCTGCATGGAGAATAGCTACTTAGGCCTTAGAATATTTAACATATTGTAATAAATTGCTAAAAATTCAATATAAACATATAAAAATTCAAATATCTTATTTATCTTAAAAATGGATGATTTAGCAGTATAGATTTCTAAGGAGCAATAACCAGTTGTGGTAAAAGAGCAAAAGAAAACACCTTAAAGGAAAAGTTTAAGACACATTCCTATTTAAATATTTAAAGGTATATATTTAAAATAGAGTAATGAATAAAGTATATTTTTCTCATTAGTGGAACCCAGCATAATAATATGCTTTATAACATATTTACACATACATTTTTTAACTGTACACATACAACCCAACATAAAATAGACACGTATAGATATATGTGTTTTATAAATCTGTAAGTAATCAATGAGAAAAATAAGCACTAGAATAAAAATAAACAAATGGCAGTGATATACCATTAAAATACTAATTGTACAGTTATGTACAATATTTAGTATTTATAGTGAAAGAATTTCAAGCTAAACAGCAAAAATATCTTTCCATTTGTTGGCAAAGATTGAAGTATTCTATTCATTGCTATGCATTCATAATAAATTTTCTCTGTGTGTTGTATCCAATATTAGCGGGGGTCTAGGGAATTAAAGTCTTGTAATCATGAAGTTCTGGCTAGAATGTATTCGACATAAATTTTTTGGAGGGCAGTTTAGCAACATGTGCATGAAAATTACATGTCCTTAACTAGTAGAGGCCTGCTTAATAGACAAAGGTCTTGTCAATATTACAAGAGCGGCTGGTGAAGGAATGTGTAAAGGAACACAGTGTGCTTATGGAAAGTTGCATTAGAGCAAGGAATTCAGTGGGATGGGAAAATGCCCATGATAGACTACAAAGTAAGATAAGTGTTTCGAGGATTGTGTGTACAGTGATTTGCTCTGACAGTAGAAATGGGTATGGAAGAAGAATCAACACCACAGCCGCACCAGTGACCTGAGAGTAGGGTTTGTTAGGGACGAGGTATTTACCAGTGACTCCAGTATTTTCTTTAGAATTTACAAATGTTCTACAATAACACTGGGTTCTAGACTTCCTTAAAATGTTAAAGGAAAGAAGAATCATAGACTTTTGCAGCTGGACGACCCTTTGTGATGTGTGGCTGCCTGACCCTGTGCTCTTTACCTGTGCTGCGCTCTTCCCTCAAGGTCAAGACTAAGGGCATTTCTTTAGTGGCTCTGGTTTGAAGAACCTTCTACACACAAAGGCACACTGCCCAACATCTTCTTCTCATCCCTTTCCTTCCTTGCAGTTATGTGCGGGACCTTGCTCAGGAAAGTCTAACGCCTCTCTTTCCCTCCCACTCCGATCAGCTGATCAGCTAGCTTTCGTGATGGTAAATGATTTGCTATTTTGTGGTTGTATAGTAGCTTTGTCTAAAGGGACAGTCTTTCCAAAGGCTTTTTAATCCTAAACACACTTTTAGAAAGCAGGTAAAAATTACTGGAAAGGAGGAAGGAGAGAGAGAAAGCCAAAAATAGTAAAAGATAACATAATCACGGATCTGTCTCAGGTTCCTATCGGCCAAATTATACACAGTGCTGTGCAGGAGGAAGGCCTCCATCGCGGTGGTACTGAAGAGAGAGGTAATTGGAAGACACTGCCTTTAGATGGGATGTACGCATTTTACGGACAGCTCCTGGCTCCACTATTACCACGTGTGAGACACTGGACAGATCAGTGATTTTCTGGCTTTGTATTTGTTACTCAGAGGATGGGGAATCGTAATAAAACATAGCATACAGTGTTGTTGTGAGGACTGAGAGATTACACATACAGGAACTGAAAGCCATTTCTTAAAATGGTAAGTGCTACAAAAATGTCAGGTTTCAAAGTCATATTTTGAAGTGACAAAGTAAAAATGAACTTCATGATTCAACTTCCAACTTTGCAAATTGGAGTGAAGAAGGGAAGCGTTTCATGGCGCATCTTGGCTTGGTAGTAGATGTGCTCATTACTGCTTCCCAAGCAGAGCTGAGCCGGGTGGGGGTGCTCTCTGCAGAGTCCATCTGCCCATCGGCATGGCCTCCAGCAAGCACGCATCACGCTTTGCTCTAATTCGGTACACGGGGCAGTTGAGCTACCATGTAACTGGATTTAGTGCACACGCTATAGCTTAGCACAGTCACAGTTTAAAACTTCACTGACTACTTGACCTCTAGTGTTTATCCCTCAAATAACCATGGGAAAACTGACATCGGCTTATTGAAGTAAGTGGAAAGCATCCTTTCCCTCCTGGCCTCTTCATCCCACAATACTGGTGAGACACAAAATGCAACAGTACGTACACTGGTTATGCCTTGCTCCAGCTGTTCACTGGACAGAATAATGCTGAAACTCTCACAACCCAAGCCTCGTGCATTCTATAAAGACGATGCATCTGTAGACCTGACCCCTTGCTCAGGGCTGAGATAATAACAGGATGAAGTTTTTAAAGTCACAGGAAGAAGAATCTATTCTCAAAGAGATTAATTACTTCTTTACCAGTGATATGGATGGGCAAACTCTGTCCCAGTGCAGTTGCCTCTCACTGGCGTATTTCTGCAAATGTGCACAGGACTCAGGGTCACAGTTAATACTAACTGAATACAAACCCAGGTGGGCGTTAGCACAACTATACTTTGCTTGGGTCTGCGTATTCTGTCTCCTGGTGCTGTTACTATGTCCAAGTCACCCATGTGCCTTTATGATGCAATTCACGGAAGGCCCATGAAGACAGATGCCATATTCGTCTCACATTTACATTTGTGCCCATATTTAGGTGGTTTAAAATATTTTTGAATAACTGTGAACACTGAATGAAATAACTTGCCTTGGACTGCTGTTGTTTTGACCTGCTTGTCAGCTTATTAGATGCCACTTGACATACTGTGCTTCTATCACATTGGTAACTGAAATCTAATGATCCTTTCATACAGTTATTATTGAATGTGAAGACCCCGCTCGGCTCAACACGCCTCTACCACTGTGGGTTCACGAAGCTTTAGAGCCTCGAGACATCCACATTTCTGCAACTCTTCCTCTTTAGCTATATTCAGATGTGCTGTGTTTCCCCTAACGAGCACACCTGCCCCCTTCAGCATAGGGCCGGAAGTCAGGGCCCATGGGGCTGAGCAGAGCCCTCAGCAGAGGGTAGGAGGCAGCAGGGGTACAGCACCCTTCAGGGGATGCAGCCTGGAGTGCACTCGGGCACTGGCCCCCAAGGGCAGCCGGTCAGGAGGACGGCAGCAGGGTCCCGTGGAGTCTGGCCTGACCCAGCATGCACTCCGGCAGGTCTCGGGAGGCCACTCCTTATCTCTCCCGAGCAGTTTCATGTAATTGTTACCAAGTCATTTGGAGGGCTGCAATTCATTCCCAGCAGTTCTTGCTTTCTCTGTAACATCACTGCCCGAAGAAGTCTTCCAGGGCTGGGTGTGGCTCTGCCAGGGGCACATGCTCAGCAGGCCTGCAGCCCTGGGTTAGCGCCCAGCACACACACACGGTCTGCTCTGTGTTGTAACTTTGATTTCAATTCCAATGAAATTAAATATTAATTCTGTGCTTGTGATGGTTTTGTGTACACTTACAAAATACATGTCTTGTGAATAATAATATTCAGAATTAAAATATTTGAAAGCATAGTTTTTTTAATTTTTGGATTTTAGCAAATATTATCAGTGCTTTTGGCAAGGTAGAAATATTAACACCACATTATTTTTTATGGAGACTGTTAGCCTTAAAATAATACACTAATGTCATTAATTCAATAAAAATGAACATAAATATTCACTATCATATCACAGAGGTTTACCGAATGCAATTCCAAAGTTTCATACTTACATTGGCATCTTTCCCAGCCAGTTTGCATAATTCCACCCGTTCTTTCGCAGCAGGCCAATAGATCTGTAAAACATTTCAAAGTGTATTAGAATACGAAGTCCACCACACAGGGGCACTCCCTCACTCTGGGTAGAGAAGGGAGGAGGTCCCACTGAAGAAGGGACATGAACCATGTGTAGGGCCACACGAGAATCCTGAAATTTACATATTGTCCAAAGCCAGCCTGAGAAGTTTCTAAAAGGAGAAAGCACAGGACCAACCATCATTTCATTCCTAGTCTCCTTTCTCCATGAACGTGTACAATGATGGATGCATCAGTCACGGGGCCTTAAATCCCCTTGGTGCTGGCAAGAGAAGTTCAGGCAGCATCTGTCTCAGGACAGGTTGGGCGCCCTGCTCCTCCAGGACAGCCTGCATGCTGCACGCCAGCCCCTGCCAGAGGTCTGGAGACAACTCTGTCGCACCGTGAGTGGTGCTCCCAGCCCAGTTCCCTGGGAACTTGTTGAGAGAATTTAACAAGCTTGGAGTCAGGCATGCCTGCCACTTAGTTGAATATTTCAGAAACATTATCTTACTTAAATTCCACCATGACCCTGTGGGATAGCCGAATTTATTTTCCTCATTTTTGGGTCAGAAAACTCAGTCCCACATGAAATTGAATGTCCACTGTAATAATTACTCCTGGCACAGCTGGAACCTGACTGATTCAGCCTCCTACTCTGGGAGCCGCAGATCACAGTACAGTAAATGTTACTGGGACAAATGCTGAGATCAGGGCAGCGACCCCCTCAGTCAGTAGCTTTTAATTATGATTAGCAATCTTGAATTTATCAGAACGGCTTTGCTGTTGTTGTTTGGTTTTTCAAAGTTTCAGAATTCTGGCAGGAAGCTTTTGCAAAGAAAAGTTTAAACAGTTGAACTTATTAGCTCCAGAGGCAGGAAGAGGCCGGCACAGCCAGCTCTGGTGGCTCACAACACATCCTCCCCAGTCCCGGGGAGACTTTTATTACACTTCTCACCGATGTGAGCAGAAAACTCTTTAATAGGTAAAGAAAAAAATTCCCTGTGGCAACACACTGCAAAAGACTTGTTAAACCTGAAATGAACACAGGGATTGGAAGTCACCAGCGTTGGCATGATACTATCTTTATCATGAAAGTCCGGGCTTTTATGTCTCAGCACCAAGAACAGAGAATAGCACTACGGACTCCCCTCACAGGCAAATGCCATGAAATGACGGAGGTTTTAAGTGAAGGAGCCCTGCTCGTGAAGAGCAAGGCAGCGTCCAAGCTTGCAGTGAGGAGGCGCACAGCAGGTGGCTCAGGGATGGCTTTAAAAGGCCACGGCCCTCGTTCGGAAATGAGCTCGCGTGGCCATACCTTCATGTCATTTTCAACAGCAGCCAGTGCCAGATATCGGGGCACCACAGCAATGAATGGCAGGGCAGCTGTACCTTGGCAATTCAGTATTAGGTGAAACAAAACAAATAAAACAACAACAACAAAAGAATCCCCCAAACTGCAAATAACTTGAATTGCTTAGAATAAAGCAAAAACATCTAAAACAAAGCGGACACATTTCAGATCTATATGTAGATCAATTCTGAAAAAATATTACTCAAGATGGGGGAGGGATAAGTTGACGATGAGGCACAGGGCATTTACCGCTTGTTTTGTTCTGGATGGTGTGCTTTCAGGTTTTTGTTTCATGTTATTTGGTTTCGGTTTGGAGTTTTAGAGACAATCCTCCTCTTCAGATTCACGAGTGCTGAGATAACAGGCCTCTGTCCCCATGCCTGGCTTATTTTCAGGGGATTAAGACATAATTTAAAACAAGTAAATAATGTTTTAAGTTAGTAAAGAGATACACAAAAATGGGCCATACATTGATCAATAGTCAGGATTCAGTTAAGTACTCAGAATCCTGAAAACCGAAATGAATGTATGCATCTTGTAGGAAATTTGAAAGTTCTGCAAATTTTTTCCTTTTGTTTTGTTCATTTGTTAATTTTTTCTTAATACCTAGTAGAAAATTACTGAACGAGGTATTCTTATTTCCTTTAAAAATAACATTTTGAATTTATGGAGTCCTTGCTTACACTTGAGCACATGAACTAAGGATATCATCTTACTTTTTTCTTGTTTGAGTTCATTATTATTTTAAATTATAGTGAAATACATGCAAAATAAAATTTGCCATTCCCGTTGATTCTTGAATGTAATAGTAATTTTGCAAAGACAACTTTATATCATTGGACAGGAAACATTAACAAACACACACTCCTGATCTGACAATTGGTTTACTCTTTGAGTTCTTTTATTTGATCTCCAGTCTAGATTTATAATTCTTTGGGTCATTTCAATATGTCAGATCCTATTCTTCCTATTTTTGATAATCAGCTATAATATTTCACCACATTTCAAAAATAAATTCAGGGCAAACATTTATAGCTTTGTGCAGAGCTGTATTTCTTATTGGTATTGATCCTATAGCAAAAATCAAACGAAAACAGTGAGCTCTCTCCTACTAGCCATGAGTGTGGAAGCGTGCAAGATCATCACAGGATTCTCGTTTTGACCTAAACCAGGGTATGGGTGATTGAGTTAAATTATGAGGTGCGTGATGTCCCCAAATTGGGTTCCTTAGTACTCACTGGTGGCGCTGAAATGAAGACTTCGGCTGAGAACGGTGAGATGTGAAAGCCATCTGAGCCTTCAGGGGATCGAAGTGACACTGTGTGAGCCAGCACGGAGCAGTGAGTGTTCGTCAGACAGCACCAGCCGCCGCCCGGGACCTCGGTGCTAGCTCAGGGCCGCAGCTCCGCGTCTACGGAACTGAGGGGCCGCGTGTCCCGGACAGCAAGGATCAGGGGGAGGAAGGCGCCGCTTAGCACCCGCTTCTGAGTCCTCGCTTATGGAACAGCTCCGTTCAGGCTCATAGCGTCAACTCTAACTTTGTGTTATGGATTTGACGCTAAAACCCTAATTGCATACTTTCCTCCCTCTTGCAAAGGAATACAAAGGCTAAGTGAGGTTTTAATTTCCCATTGTACATTTTCAGTTATTAGCGATCAGCCACATAATACACATGGGGTGGTTAATCCTACTTAGTGAAACAATAAACTACTGACCTCAGAGAATTGTCCCTTTTTTGAGACAAGGTCTCACTGTGTAGTTTACACTGGCATTGAATGCACTATGTACCCTAGGACTATGTACTATGTAGCCATGAACTCATGGCAATCTTCCTGCCTCAGCCTCTCAAGTGCTGGAATTACAGGTGTGCACCACAACACCCAGCTTGAGAATTAATTTTTTTGATTATCGGGTAAATGTTGTGCAGAGATACAAAGGTCTCTTAGTTTGTTGGACTCCAGAGCTCACATTTAAATAAATCTTCTAATCTGTTTATGTAACAGATTTTCCCCCAAATATTCGCTCTGTTCTCGTCACCCATATTCAGTTTCATAATTCCTAGAAGCTGATAAAAGCAGAAACTGCATGGACTGTTTGAATCATGGTACAGGGATTTTAACATCATATCTCAAAGAAAATTTTTCCTAAAGTACCACTGAAGCCTTCAAAGTAAAGATTCATGAGATTATATATTGGCTTATTTTAAATCAACACCATCACAAACTTAGGAATTCCAAATAGAACTATGTTCGATTATAACAAACTACAAAATCTTTGATTGTCTTCCAGACTGGAAACTGTTATTTAGAAGGAAAAAGTAATACAATTGTACTTATGCCAATATTTAAGATGTAATTTTAATTGTGATTTACAGTGGGATTTTCTTTTATTTGCTGCCTAGTCATCAGGATCAAGGGTTTATTTTTTTAAATATTGTTTTGATTCCTAATTAGTAAAAAATTTAGAGAAATAAAATTATCCTTAATTCAGTATAAATACGAAACAAAGCAAGGTAAGAAGTGCTGACATACAGTCTACTTACATGTGTGTTTATGAAGAGCTGGCAAAAATAATGTTCAAGCAAGCACTCCGTGGTCTAATACTCTTTTGAAATGACATACATAACATGCTGTGTACACCCATACACACACATACCTGCACACACACGCACACATGCACCATAGACTGTGAGACCTAGATGCCTAACAATAGATGAATGGAGCAAGAAAATGTGGTAAGTTAGAATGGAGTATTATTCAGCCATTAAGAAGAATAAATTCAAGGCATTTGTAAGAAAATGGGTGGGACCTGAGACCAGATGTTGAGAGAAAGAAGTCAGGCACAGAAGGTTAATTATAGCGTGGATTCTCTTATAGGAGAAACCCAAAATACACGTAGACTAAAGAGTCCAAAGAGGAAGAAGGCAGGAAACAGAGACGCTTTTCTCAGAGATGGGGAAGGGGCAGAAAGCATATCAACAATCACCAGGCTGATATGTATGAATGTCCCCAGATACATTTCATTATTACGTACTGCAAACATGCCAGTAAATAAAACGTAAAATAGACTCCACGCCCTGCCTTCTGGTCTCGCTGTGTATGCAGGGTGTGCTTGGGAGCAGCTGCGGACCGAGGCAGGGAGAACAGCCCAGAACTCGCTGGAGGGCAGGTCCAATGTGGGGCGGGGCCCACGGATGTGCTGTCACACGCAGCAGGCTTTGCACACACTCCCAGCACACCTCCGAGCCCTCCGCTGTGTCAGTCCTGTGGAGGCTACACCCTGAGCGGCCTGAGGCACAGAGATCAGCCCGGAGGCTGCAGAAGCCAATCGCAGCTGCCCAGCAGGCCCCCTGAGCAGCAAGCTGCTCTCTGCTGTCCCGGTTAGCACCAGAAACCCCAGTACCCTCTGGATTTTCAGGGCTCTGCACACAGAGGCCCAGCCTCACACTGGCCAAAGCACAGCGCATGCGCCGTTTCAAATGCTTGATGGCTCCTTGTGAAGTCATTCGCGCACGTTTCTTTCACTTCACTTAGAGACACTCCAGGCCCGGAGACAACACTTCTTGAGAGCCTGCCCTCTCTGGGCCCGTGGCCTCTCCCACCCGGGCTGCAGACAGTGGGCAGCACAGGGCCTTCCTCCCACTGAGTC